TGAACACCCCTAATTACACGGCGGTGGTCAGGGATGAGAATCAGATTGTTCCGAGCTGAAGAAGTAGAGGGAGCCAAGGAACCAAATCTTGGTGAAGGCGAGCAGGAGAACCTACACCCCAAAATCAAAGAACCGTCACCACAGCCAACCGGATCAGACTCCGTCATTCACCAACGACGACGACATAGAGGCAAATCTAAACCACCAGCAGAGGCCAAAGGGGGAAAACGGTGAATGGATTCACCAAAAGAAAGATAAATCCACCATCTTGAGGGACAACCACCACACATAGTCTGGTAGAGACGCCAAAGATGCAAAATCCAGCCCCAAGGAGAGCAAACCCAGAAACAAGAACTCTAGAACAGAGAACATTGTAAAGCCACATAGGCTGGAAAAGCTGAAAAAGCTGGAAAATGAGTGATATAAGATTTATGTTTGGGTATCTTTTTCAGCAATTCAATTGTTAGAATGTGATGATTCTCGACACACTTAATAACCGATTAGGAATGAAAATTTGTATTCCGCCTCGTCAGATGCTATACGATCCACAGTAACATGAGACTAGGGCTGGCCATTCGGTTATCGGTTGTCGGTTAACCGGCCGGTTAAACCGATAACCGGTGGTTACCGGTTAACCGATAACCGAAAAGCTGAGGGCGCGGGCGGTAGAAGGGTTGCGGAGGCCGGTTAACTAGCTAACCGACATAAATAACCGCCGGTTAAACCGACTAACCTACGCATCCTCACCCCTCGTAAAACGCCGTCGTATCTATGTGTCTGTCTGTCCTACCCTAACCATCGCGAATTCACTCTCCCTTCCAGGCTTCCACCATCGCGAATTCACTCCACCACAGCAGCGATTCACTCTCCCTCTCCCTCTCCCTCACTCTCCCTGCCGCGTGCCACCGCCTGCCCCTGCCGTTGCCGACCCTCTCCCTCACTCTCTCCCTGCCGCCGACGCCACCATCTCCCTCCCGCCTCCCCGACGCTAGTCTCCGCCATCTCCCTCTCGCCTCCCCGACGAGTCGACGACAAGCTGATGTGAGTACAAAATGGAAACTGTAGTACATATGCCCACCACCTCTCTTTCAGATTTGAGCAAAGATAAATTATGGAGCAATTGAACTGCTCTTATTCTGTTGGTTATATTAGTAATAAGTGATTGTACAACTAGTGATCTTGAAGGGAATTAGGAACACAAATTTTGTTTTATGGTAGATGAAAAGGTGATTCAGTCGTGAAATTATTCATGGTTTGGATGGCTTGGTTTAGTGACTTTAGTCTCCTTTGATTGTACAGTGATGTACTGGTGATAAACCTTGCTGTGTAAAATTCGACTGAGGAGTTTTGGTTATCCTCTCAACAACTCTTCTCCTGCAAGCTTTTGCCAAGTATTTGCTAGAGCAACTTATAGCAGTGGCCAAACTTGGTTATTATACATGTACGAACCCCGACAAAATGACGTGCCAGTAATTATAAGTTCCATTGTGCTTTGCGTGTTTCTATATGTTCGCTCCCTTGGAGCATTTCATTTGAGCACATACAGTGTGGAACGAAGATGACCTCTGTAGGAGAAATTCTTTGTATAACTCAGCTTGCTGCATCAGTGTAACAATTTCCTTGTGTAATTGTTTTTGTAGGGTGAGACCTCCGGCTTCTTGTGGTGGACGTGGCGGACGAGGTGTCCCTACTGCTGCTACTGCTCCTCATGGTGGGAGACCTCCGGCGACTCGAGGTCGTGGTGGTGCGACTGCTCATGTTCAGACCCGGGGTCGTGGTGGGCGTACAGGAAGTCGACCTGTTCAACCTACTGAAGCTTCACCGTCTTCATCAACTCCATCGATTCCCGCCCCTGTCGATAGTGGAAGTACACCTGTCGATACACCTGCCGAGACTCCTTCTGTTGACACGGGCACTCCTTATTCAGAGACAGTTACAAGAGACATATTTGACTGCGAGAAATGGTTGAAGACGGTGGGTAAAGCTTCTTGTTGGAAGGTGTTTAAGAAGATAATAGTTGACAGCTACCCGATGGGAGAGTGCATTCACTGTCATACTTTAATCAAAGCTCATCCTCACAAAAATGGGACCACTCAATGAATAACCACATGCACTCCTGTTTGGCTAAGTTGGCAGCAAATAAAAATAAGACAGTATTGCAGACATCAGAAGGTGGTCAAGTAAGTGGTTTATGGAAGTTTGATCAGGGAAAAGCTAGATATGCATTAGCCCGTATGATCATTATGGATGAATTGTCATTTCGCTTTGTGGAGAGGGAAGGGTTTAAGCAATTCATGTCTTCTGTTCAGCCACTGTTTAGGATACCTGGGAGGAAAGCTATAAGAGATGACCGCTTTCATATCTTTATGGATAAAAAGATGGATTTAATTGATTTTTTTGAATCAAGGAGCCAAGGAAGAGTTTCAATCACTACGGATACATGGAATTCTGATAACAACAAGAATTTCATGTGTGTTACTGCTCACTTTGTTGGAAGTGATTGGAAGTTGCAGAAAAAGGTGATAGCCTTTGTTCCCATCACAAGTCATACTGGAGTTGATATTGCAGAGAAGCTTGCAGAAGTTCTTGAAGAGTGGAAGGTGAAGAATCTGTTCTGCATGACCATGGACAATGCAACTTCAAATGATGTTGTCAGTGAGTGCATGATAATGAAGCTAAAGGAGTGGGGGTGTGATTTGATGGATGGGAGGTTTCTACAGTTTCGATGTGTTGCACACATCATTAATCTGGTGGTACAAGATGGACTGAAAGTGGTTGGTGGTGCTGTGGACAGAGTTCGGGATTGTGTGAAGTGGGTGAGGTCTTCACCAGCTAGGTTGTTACGATTCAAGAATGGCATGGAATTTCTGCATGTGGAGTCAACCAAACTGGTGTCTTTGGATGTACCGACCAGGTGGAACTCCACCTATACCATGTTAGAGTCAGCAGAAAGTTTTGAGGCAGTGTTTACGACGTTGTATTCAAGTCCACACGATCATTCTCTTAGAGATTATCTGGACTCAAGAGGTGGGCTTCCAACTAATCAAGATTGACAGATGGTTAGGAAGTTGAGAGACTATATGAAAGTCTTCAATGACTTGACCCTTCTAGTCTCTGGTAAGTGAAATTTCTGAACTGCATTGTTTTATTTAAAAATTATAACGATTTGCCCATTTCAATTTGTGTTATTCTAATTGTACAGGAACTAAATATGTGACTATGCATATCTTCTTCAAGAAGCTTGTTACGGTATATGACATCATTGATAAATTGAAGAAGGATCCGCTTGAAGAGATCCAAAAGATGGCTGAGAAGGTTGAGGAAAAGGTACAAAAGTATTGGTTTGAATCATGTGTTGTGAACGAGAAGAACATGAAGGTGAACCACTTAATTTATATAGCATGTGTGCTTGATCCAAGAAGTAAACTTGATTTGATGTCTGAGGTTTTGGCAATGATGTATGGGAATGTGAAGGGAGGAGAAATGGTTGACTGCATTAGGAAGGAAATGCGACAACTGTTTGAGGTTTACAAAGGGAAGTATGGATCAAAAGCACCCTCCTCTGCATCTGAGCCTACCACTGGTGAGAGCACGGCTGGTGGTGATAGGATTAAGCAGCTAGAGGAGAGGATTAGGAAGAGGAAAAGGGAAGCACTTCTGCAGGATACAGGAGGTAGCTCTGCTGAGCTTGACATCTATTTAAGATGTCAAACTGATGGCATCAATGAGGAGAGTGATGATGCAAAGTTTGACATCTTGAGTTGGTGGTCTCGACACTCTTGAACATATCCGATTCTTGCTGAGATGGCTAAGGATATCCTAGATGTTCCCATCTCTTCTGTTGCCTCAGTGGCAACCTTCAGCTGTGGCGGTCGGATTCTCAGTCCATTCAGGTCTTCTTTGAGTGATATCATGTTGGAGGAATTGATTTGTGCGGAGGATTGGATAAAGTATCAAGATGCCGGGGCCGGAGATAATGACGATAGGGAAGAAGATGAAGAGATCATGGATTTGGAAAGCGGTAAGTTCTAAAACTCTTTTAATTATTATTTGTTGAAGTAAACAAATACTATTTCTTTCTACCTAATTCAATGTATGAATATTCTAATAATTTGTTTTATTTTTTCTTACTCAGTTAATACCACTTTCCAGTCTAGAATGGAAAGTGCAAGAATTGATGTTGGCAATGCAGATGCAAGTCAGAACATTCCAGATGGGAATGAGCAGGAGGGTGAAGAAAATGTGTCGGAGGAAGAGTATGAGAAAGATGGATATGACGATGTTGGTCATCACCTCTTGCCGCAACTGAAAGAAAAGGGTTATGTAGATGTTGGTTCTTCTTCGGTTGATAAGTGATGAATTGGTGGTGACTTGTAATTTGTGACTTTATGAAGTTCATGACTTTATGTTCTAGTATTTGAGACATTAATTTGGTGATTTAAATCTATTTTGTATGCAAAAATGATTGAAACTTGACTTGTGGAGTGATTTAGATGTAGAAATGTAAGGCTGAACGTTTAATTTTAGGCAATTTGTATCAATCTTGTCTTCACAGGGGTCTGACGGGTTTGGTTACCGGTTCGGTTAGTCGGTTATAACCAGTTTTCGTTGCATGCCGCGGTTACTTCGGTTAACCGAGCAACTAACCGGTAACCGACCGATCGATTGCCGGCTAACCGAAGCTTTCCTTCGTGCGGTTGGCGTTAGTTGCATCCCCTGTCTCGTTAACCGGTAACCGACATTTCGGTTATCGGTTATAACCGAACTAACCGAAATGTCAGCCCTAATTGAGACATGTCAACCAAAAGGCAAGAAGAATAAACAACACGCGATTTATGTGGTATACTCGACGATGATGTCGAAACTAATCCACGCAGAGAAGCAACCTCTCAGACTCAATCGTATAATCTGCCAATAGAATCCTTAGGTTACAGGAGTGGCGGCCTCAGCTTATGTACACAGCCGCCAAACCCTAACTATGACTTAAACGTAATTAAACTAAATACAAGTTAATTATATTTTGCTACCTATACTTTTAACACCCTCCCTCAAATTGATGGTACTTGCGTAACATCAATTTGTGTGCTAGAAACCAGTGACGAGAGGTAGCCACCGCTTTAGTAAGCAGGTCTGCGGTCTGGTCCTCTGAAGTGATGTAGGATAGCAAAATATGTCCTTCAGCAACCAACTGGCGGATATAGTGAACATGAACTTCAATGTGCTTCGTATGATCATGGAGCACAAGATTAGTAGCAATCTTAATCGCACTGGTATTATCGACATATAAACGCATAGGATAGATACTAACCACACCAAGTTCCTCTAGTAACTGACGCAACCAGACCAACTCCGAAGTCACCTCGGACATCGAACGATATTCGGCCTCAGTGGAGGACTTAGACACCCGGTCTTGCTTCTTACAACGCCAAGAAATGAACGATGAACCCTCTTTCACACACCAGCCAGACGTCGAGCGTCGAGTATCCATGCAACTAGCATAGTCAGCATATGCATATGCTTCTATATCAGGTGTACCAGTCGCAGGAAAGAAGAGGCCAACATCCTGAGTATCACTAAGATAGCGCAAAATGCGCATGATGGCAAGAAGATGAGACGACTGGGGAGCCGACATGAATTGACTGACCACCTGGACTACATAGGAGATGTCTGGACGAGTATGAGTCAAATAGATAAGGCTGCTCACTATGCTACGATACTGAGAACTGTCAGGTAGAAGATCACTGTCATCTCGTCGTAACTTCAGATTTTGTTCCATGGGCGTAGCACACGGAACACACGACTCCATATTAGCCTGTTCTAATAGATCCACCACATACTTCTGTTGACATACTAGCAAGCCAACGTAGATCGATGAATCTCAAGCCCCAAAAAATATGATAGATCACCAAGCTCCTTGAGATTAAAAGCATCCCTAAGAACTCCAGTAAGAAACTGAATCCCGTCCTGATCATCACCACTTATCACCATGTCATCAACATAGATAAGTAGCATAGTGAGTCCACGAGACGTACGTCGTAGAAACAAAGAAGGGTCATTATCACTTTGATGAAAGCCAGCCTGCAGGATAGTACTCCGGAATTTTTCAAACCAGGCCTGGGGCGCCTGTTCCAATCCATACAGAGAGCGGCGAAGTAAGCAAACTTTTGACTTGTCGTTGGAATAGCCGGGAGGACATTCCATATAAATTGTCTCCTTCAAGTCTCCATGCAAGAATGCATTTTTAACATCCAACTATGTCAGACCCTAACCCTTCATGGCCGCAACCGCAAGCAGCATGCAAACAGTCTGCATTTTCAATATTTGTTCATATTTTGATCTTTCATCAACTAATTAGACTTGATCTTTCAACTAGTTAGATTCAATTACCTATTATCACTCATTTTCATTCATAAAGTGTTTTCCCTTAATTTTATCGTAAAAACTAAAAAATTTATGTGTTTTTTTCCGAATAACATGTAAGAGTTGGTCGACCTGTCCCGCATGTACCGCCCGTCCCGTCCCACCTGTTTGACATTACTATAACTAATGCTAATCGCACGTAAATATAATGAGAATTCATAGTTTAAATTTAAATAGAGCTCAACGAGATAGCTGCGCAATACAAGAAAATCTATCGAGATTGGCAGCTAATTGCACGTGTGAGTACTAGGCAGGGATACCCAGTGAAAACACCTCTTCCTCTTAATATTAATGATTGATGAATTCGGCACCACCTACATCACAATTGTTAGTAAAAGAAGGTATAAAATATGTATGATTTTGGGGTCTTGCCAGATTTAATCTGGTTAAATCAACACTGAGACATTACTGATAGCCATTTGCTCGAGCGAATGAAATATTAAATATACGCCAATAAATATTCATGAACATTCACATACTATTTAAGAAGGAGAATCATTATCAATCACATAAATTAGAAATAAAAATGAAAGATGCAAAGTAGTTCATTCTCTCTTAAGAAATGAAGCTATTGATGAAGAATATGAATTGAATGATGAGCAATATGAATGAACTAATTGGTGTGATTGGGACGTTTGTTTAAAGCAATAAACAATGGTTTGAACCTTTCGGCAGGCAATTGCCAAAGAATCATTATCGAGTAGTAGGAGGAGAAGACTATGGTCTGCGGCTATGCATTGTAGCATTAGCAGCAGCCAAACTCTATCCTCTTCTTCTTCTTTGAGTTTCTACCACCAAAGTACCAATTTTCTTTCTTTATCGCTTTAGGGGGACCAACAGCCAACACTTTTTTTTAATTATAAACCAAAGCTTAATATTTTAGTCGAATTTCACATCGATAAAATACGAGAGAGATTCATGGTTCATAAATACGAAACTAATCTTAACGGACAAGACGTGTTTTAGTGTGAAATGGATAAGTCCTTGTGAGAACTCTGTTAAACGTGTTGATTGTGAAACACTGCAAGGGTGGGTGACCTTAAGGAAAACCACCTGATATGCACCCCAATGCAAAATTCATGCAGGTTTATAACTAAAGCGGACAATATTTAGTCGGGAAAAGGTTTGGAATGTCACAGTTACTATGTTCATAAGCATCGGTGCTTTGATGTGTTAAAAAAAAGATTATGCTACAAAATGGATTTGTATCTTTAACGTTGTAGTACTAATCAACTTGGACATATACCTCTTTGAGCAAGTTTTTTATAATAAAAATTGAATTTATACATTTAACATTGTGATTTATACCTATATATTTTCGTAAGAATTTCTTTATCATATAAACTGATTATACCTCAAACATTATGATTATGGTGTACTAAAAACATACCTTAAACAAATCCACCTATTTGTTTAATTAGCGGGGGTGTCTTTTTGTTTTAGGTTTGGCGTACGCGTTGATAGATTTGTGCTAACCACTCTCGCTTATTTAACTCTGAATTTCGTAGCTGGTGGCAACTGTTCTTTGTACCTTTTGTTTTCCTTAAATTGACAAATGGGTGATTTATTGGAAATTTGGTGAAAATTGTCCACACGTATTATCACTTTTTCTTTTAGTGTATTCTTGTTGTGGTCAATGTAAATTGATGCTAAACTTTGATAGTACTTTTGCTTCTTCTTCTGTTCCCCCGCTCTTAATTAGAAGCTAAGATAGAGTTCCATGCCCTTTTCTCATTTCCCATACCAGTTTAGTCAAAAGAAGTACACACGTCTTCTTGCTTTTATTGATTCATATAGTTAAGAAAAATCTCACTTTTGGGAAAACAGTAACCACACTTTAAGTTACAGGATTAGCTGTAATATCAAAATACAGACACAACCATTTCAATTTATTGACAACTATCTCTTATATGATTTTCGAAATGACAAATATAGCATGAAGTAAGGTGGTTTAGTGATAAATAAATGTTACACAGCCATCAACTCTTTGATTGTGGTCGGCAGTGGCGGAGTCAGGATTTCAAACTACCCATGTCATTTATTCAGAATATATAAAATATTTTATAAATATAATTAAAATTAATATTATCTTAATAATTCATTCACAGAGAAAAAAAAACTGACTAATACAATTAGTGTTTCATAAATAACCAGGACGAGTTTTCATATTATGAAAAAATGTAAAATACATTCATTGTTTACACCATAATATCGTGATAATACCTAACGAGCTGTTGTAAAATGATAGTGTCATGTAATTTAATTATTTTTTGTGAATTAATGAACAAATAATGAGTTATGTTGTAATGTTAAAATATCGTTATGGTACTTGTAACTGTAAGTATTAATTCGATCTGTACAAATATATGTGAGGTTAGTTTTTTCCCTCCTCAAAAGTTACCCCTGTTCTGGGATAGGGGCAAACACCCCTGCCTCCGCCTATGGTGGTCGGTTTTAGCAATACGAAACAGTTGAACCATAATTCAACTACGAATTTTAATACAAAATACCCTATCACTGAATTTGTCGTATAACTCCCACTACGGTTGGTGCAAACTATAGACACGTATGAAAGCCATATTAATTGAGGTGTCAAAAGTCTGCTTCCAAATTAGGATGCAATCAGTGCAGCCATAGATACCCACACGCGTGCTTAAATTTGATGGACAGAAATGAATGAATGATGATAATTGACTCCCTGCTTCCCAATTGTCATTCTCATCCACTGGATGGGAAAACTGAATTGACAGATAGTTGTTAACTCATCTCCATCCACTCCACTCATGCATTGCATGCCAATCAGAATAATCCATTGATTAAATTGTTTCCAGTTATATATCAAGTTAAATTCTACACGCACAAAATCAGCGGGTCAAGATAGGGTGCATAATCATGGGTTATGCACCCATCAATAATTAAATCTGGACTCTTCATTTACAAAATCCAGATTTAAAGATGGACAATTAAAGACCATTTTTATGTTTCCTAACTTTCTTAATCGGCTCATATCTTCTTCGTTTTAATTCGGATTTTAATTTTTTTTTGCACAGATGGAACGAGTTTATCGTGCTCTACAAAATGAGATCTATTTTCAATATTTTTTGAGAAAAAAAATCTTGCCTCTCCGTACCAACTATATACCATATGGTATTTTCTTCGTTTTTAATTCGTTTTTGAAAACGTTTGCACAGAAAGGACGAGTTCATCATGATCTATTGGATCTACAAATTTCTGGGTGACAAATTACAGGACCAAAAAATACCACACAATACCACATAATACCACCCTGGTACGAGATGGTATCTTATGATATACAATGTTAAAAGTCGTAAATGACAGTTAATATACTTCTACTATCATGTATTCAACCATCTTGCAGTCTTGGTTTGTTCATACCACCATGGTACGCTTTTCAAACCATAGGTATGCTCTTATTTCAATACTAGTCAATACCATATGGTATAGACTGGTAAAAAATGGCTCAATTTTTTTGTTCGAAAAATATATCGAAGTGGATAGCATTTTGAAGCGCATAATTAATCTGATCTAACTGTGAAAAAAAAATCGATTTAAAACGAGTGAGAAATCGTCCGTCAAAGATTAAGGAAGGGAAAATTAAAGACTTTCCAGGAGAGAAATGGTGTTGATGTCATGTTGATGTGTACGGGTTACTCATGGTTACTCACCATAAGGTTACTGACCTGATCCGTTCCCAAAATCAGCACACCACAAGATTATTCTTATTAACCATTTTAGAAAGTTCTCACCAATTGAATCATTTTTGGTGATTAAGCGTCGGAAGAATATTCTTACTGATCTATTAACAACAAGTAGATCCACGCCACTGACGCCAGGGGAATTAGTAATGAGTCATGAGAAATTGGTACAAGAAGTTGTGGATACACATATACGGGTCTCTTCCAATAACTTGAGTTATTAAGATTAGTTGATCTATAAAATAGTGTCGGAGCTGGTTTGCCATTGAGGTTACCTGTTCAAGTCCTCGCAATCTCCAATACTAACCGTTGTCTTTAAAAGCACTTGGTATATGTAGGGTATGTGCAAACTTTAAATCCATGAGTCGGCTTTCGTTTAAAGGGTCATGTAAGGGAGTAGTTACGTATACCATGGACTTATACTCATGATTAGTGTAGAAGAGTATTATAAATAGTGAGCTAGCCGAACCCTAGGGCCAAGAGAGAACCGATTTTGTACTGAAACTCAAACCGTAGTGAAAACAATCTTGAGAACTATGCTCTCTGTGAACTAGTCCCGAGCTTTGGGAAAACCCACAAATCGATGTGTCTTCTTTATTTTCCATGGACTAGTTCGATGGGCTTCTGTCGACATATGAAACGAACATCTGCTGAGTGCAGCATCGTCGAAACTATTAGATGCATGGAAGTTAGCTGGGAAGAACTGAAGTTGGTTATAAGTTATAACAATTTAATCATTCTTTCAACTTTTGCTCCCAAAAAATTGTAGGATTAAAAATTGAATATGCCCCAATCAATATATGTTCCTCGTTGAATTGTATGCCCTCTCTTTAAGATCCTTTAAGAGTTTATACCAGGGGTGTTGGTTCGATTAATCGAACTGAAAAACATTAGAATTCAAAATACAGAATTGTGAGTTGCCCAAAGTCTGAAACTGGACTAGGATGAGATCCTACCTCCCTAATGACGTCATTGCTCTTATTGCAGACACTGAAGCTCCAAAACCAGGGCTAGGAGAGGACAAAACAATCTGGGGAATTGAGAGAGACGGAAGGTTCAGACTCAAGACTGCCTACCTCCTTGTGACTGGGGAAAACGAGGATATACCGCTACAGACTTGGAAGGATATTTGGAAATGGAGAGGCCCTAGCCGTATTAAGCATTTCTTATGGCTAGCAAGTCACAATAGACTGCTGACCAACAAGGAAAGGGAGAAGAGGAAGCTGACTGTGGATGGCTGCTGCAACTTCTGTAGATCAGCTAACGAAACTACAAAACACATCCTCAGATCCTGCACTAAGACAACTGGAGTTTGGAGTTTCTTTGGTAACAAGCTAACGGTTGATGACAAGGACCTGAACTTTTAGGAATGGCTGAATAGAAATATGATGGACCCTGAGAAAGGTGTGGATTTTGACATCATCTGTTGGAGTCTATGGAAGCAAAGGAACGAGGAAGTGATGGATGGGAAGAGGTTTTGTGAAGCAGGACTTATTCATAGAATCACAGCGTGGATCAATATTAACTGTCAGGCCATTTTGAATGCCCAGAAGAGCCTAGTGTCACCCAAAGTCACCAAGTCAAGTCATTAGATTGCTTGGAAACCTCCTTGAGAGGGATGGGTTCAGGTCCAATCATATGGATCTGTCCTTCAACCTTCTGGAAGTGCTGCTGCAGGTGGGCTGCTAAGAGATCACCTCGGAAGATGTATGGGGGCGTTTACTTGCAATCTCGAGAAGTGCACTATCACCTGGGCGGAACTGAAGGGTGCAACAGAGGGTCTGGAATTTGCTTGGAAGCTCGGCTACAGGAATGTTGAGCTGAATGTGGACTCTAGAACAACGTTGGATATCATAAAAAATAGATATAGTACTGATCACTGTCACGGGCTTCTTGCGAAGCAGTTTAGTAGCTTACATTTGAGGCAGCGGACTTCTTAGCTACTAAGGGTCATTGTTCTCCTTTTGGCACACATCCATTCGATGTGAGCGACCCGAACTTCTGTTATTGGTTGTACCACGATTCTATGGGAATTTCCATGAATCGTTTGATTAATGATATGATATAGGACGCAATTAGTGTCTGTTTTCTACACACAAAAACTGTACAGTTTCGGTTTCGTTCATAATAATAAAATAATAGAGATAATACTTTTATTGCGTTAAGACTTATTGATTTAAAAATTATATTCAATTCTAATGGAAAATAAAATTTTTAAGGACTAATCAATTTTCCCGTTAAAAGGAACATATAAACTAGGGATAGCAACAAAACCCGAACACACGGGTACCCACCCGACCCAACCCGGTCAACGCGGGTAAAATTCGTGTTGACGGGTTTGGGTTTAAACCCGTTCACTATTCACGGGTTGGGTTTGGGTTTAGGTAAACCCGCCCTATGGGTACCCGCCCACACCCATATAATTAATTTTCTCGGTATATTTAATATTCTAAACAACTCATCTTATTTATGTTTGTGGAGACATGTCCAATTTTTTATTTCTAATTGTGTAGAATGAAGTTGATGTTATAGAGTGGAGAGTGAAGAAACTTAATTGAAAGGAAGAAGCTTTCAATTAATCATGTTATTTATGGATAATTTGTTATTTGCTTCAATTTTCTTGAGTTTTCTAGATTGGTGTTGAACAATTTGTATAGTTAATTTGTGATTTACTTGAATTTTCTAGAATGATGTTGTATACATGGATAATTTGTATTGAGAGATTGATGTTTAACTTTAATTTTGATAGGAATTTGTTATTGTAAATTTTGTACGACAAAAACCCGCGGGTACGCAGCAGGTTGGGTTGGGTTTGAGTTTTTCAAACCCAGTGAGTTTTACCCCGGGTTTTTTTCACGGATAAACCCATGGGTTTGGGTTTGGCAAAACCCGACCCATTGCCATCCCTAATATATACCTATAGAACAAGTTCTGTTTTAATTAAAAGTTTAAGGAAAAAATCAAAACCAAACCAAATATAAACAAATATTCATGATTTGTAATTTTATATTATTTCAAATATTCATGATTTGTAATATTATATTATATCATCATATGAAACAAATATTGATGATTCAAACAATCTCCAATATTAACAATTGATTTAACACAACGGATATAAGAATTCAGACTCCATACGGCCATACCAACCGATGTAGCTGCCTACTACTGCATTCAATCAAAGAGATAAAGCATCTGCTAAAATGGATTTGCCTGCTTTTGCCATGTTAATATTATCATGAGCACTGTTCTTGTTGTGCTCTTTCTTTGTTTATTTTCTGTCTTAGCATTTAGATGTGTTGTATATTAACACAAAAACAATACTGGGAGGGAAATGACGTATGGAGTCACAGAAAGAAACAAAAGGAATCTGGTGTGCGTTCGACATCAATTTAAGCCCATCACCAGAAAGGTAGAGAAGGAAAATTCAAGTTATTCGCATTAGTTAGTTCTTGACATATTATTAGAATCTTCTGTAATTGAGAAGTTTTCGTTCAAATCTTGATGATCCCTATCTGTTTTGTTATGCACATGGTGTTCAGACTTGTGCAAATTTCAAGCCATATATGGTGGCTTTCGTTTGAGGGGGTATCAGGGGCTGATCCAGGTATATGGGTGACACTCCTAAAATTTGGAAGAAAAATTAATCAACCCCTAATAGTAGTCTGAGATTGGAAAAAAGAAAGAAAAAAGACGATAGTGTATGTGATTCGAATATATAACATAGTAGTTATTAGTGAACAACTTTTCTATTTGAGTACACTTCATTTGTTGTTGTGATTTTTTCATATATCCTCAAAATTTTCAAAGTATAAAATTAAACCCATGAACTATCCCTTATCCCCACCGTATTCTAACACACGGTTTTATCCTGAAGAGTTCTGTCACCTCTCTAATTCTGTATTTCTACATGATTTTGAGAATTACTATCATTTTGTCAAAAATGATAAGTTATTTTATGGACTAAAAGAAACTGATGAATTAGTTGAGTTCATGGCGGGGACGAATTGAATCTACCGTTTATTTGCTCCTCAAATTTGTATTGATTTTATCTATTGCAATTCCAAATTTTAAGAGAATTTTTTAGCTCTGGGTTATATCAAGAACAAGTTTTGAAATCGAATAGACAACCAGTTCATAATTGTCTAGTAAGATATATTGAAATAGATTTGTTGAGCACATTGGACGGTGGGTAACACGTCGTTGACTTTTGTTGTAACTAACTTGCATTAGTCGGATCGTTTCTTAATTAATACTTTTTTTAATTTTTAATAATTAATTTAATTTTTGAATGGACACCCCTATATAAAATTTATGGGTCCGCCACTGGGGGTATGTTTATAAATGGTATATGATTCATGATTGAACCTTTCACAACAACTCAAATTATTGGTATCAGATGATTTATGATAGAATGAACAACTCAACAAGCATGCATGAGAGCGGCGAAATGGTCGATGGCGAAGTTCTGATTCACAGCAACACTGACGCGTTTTCCCCAATCAATACAATACTCAATAGTAATTGCTAGGCCAAGAAAAAGACTGCTGCCGTTTGCTAATTTCATTGATTCCCAGTTGGATTGTTGCTCATCACCATGTATATAATAAGTCAATGGATTGGTTTTGTCGCGTTATTTGGTGTCTATCTCTGTCTAGGTAAAGATGCCATCTGATCTCCTCCATTATTTTGATGGAGAATCATGATACTATCATCATCTTATATGGTTGGGCCATCTCAGTCTCGGCCTTGACCTTGTAGCAGTTGTGCCGGTCGTGGCAGAGTTAGGAAGATGGATAAACAAGAAGAAGGAAAAAAAAAAACATTGCTAGAAGAAGTGTTCCATGGAATATTATGGGTGGGGGTTAACTTTTTAACAAATCTCATGCTCATTGTTTTAATCAGAAGGTAGCTCGGTCCTGCAGATTGGCAGGGTCCAATGAACTATTCCGTTGTTGAGTTGGGTGGAACTTTGTCAAGTACAACAACTTGAATTATTGAGATTAACAGGTTCGTGACATGATATCAGAACTGATTTGTACTTGAGGTAACTTCTTCAAATCATCATTACCTGATACATGAACTTCTCCTAAGTCTTTAAAGCACGTGCCATGGTGATTCATGCAAATTTCAAGTTCATGAATTGAGTTTTGTTTGAGAGGCATGTGTAAGGAAATGATTAAATACCATGTTGTTGGTGAGAGCTATTGTGGTTGATTGTTGATCCAAGAAGGGTATTCTTGAGGTGTTTGTAATCCTCTAGCTAGTCTAGAGAGGACTTGTAATCCCACCAAAGTCTAGTGGAGTTGTGGCTTGGACAAAGGTCCCGTGGTTTTTCCCGATTTGGGTTTTCCACGTAAAAATCGTGTGTCTTGTGCATTCTATTCTTGCTTGTGGTTGCTTCCCGGTTTCTCAACAGTGGTATCAGAGCATTAGGTTGTTTGGGGGCCGTGTTTGGTGAATGGCAAGAATGGATGACTCAAGTGGAGCAATGATTAAGTTGACATCATCCAACTACTCTATTTGGAAGCCACGGATGGAGGATATTCTGTTTTGCAAAGATCTCTATGAGCCAATTGAAAATGGCAGTGAGAAGCCGGAAGACAAGACCGAGAAGCAATGGGAGGTCTTGCATAGAAAGGCGGTGGCAATCATTCGACAATGGATTGACCAAAGCATCTTTCATCATGTTGCAAAAGATACAAGAGCAGATGAATTGTGGCAGAAATTGGAGTCCATGTATGAGAGGCAATCGGCTCAAAATAATGCCTCACGCATTCGAAGAATTGTGAACTTGAAGTACAAGGATGGGCATAGTGTCTCGGAGCATTTGAGTGACTTTCAAGGGCTTGTGAACCAGCTAACTACTATGAAGTTAGCACTTGATGATGAAGTTCAAGCATTGTTACTTCTCAGTTCTTTGCCGGATAGTTGGGAGACTTTGGTGGTCTCACTTAGCAACTCAACACCTAATGGCAAGTTGACGATGGACATTGTCAAGGATAGCATGTTGAATGAAGAGGCAAGGAGAAAAGAGTTGGGGATTACATCAGAGTCACATGCTTTGGTGGCGGATAATTCTGGAAGTCGTGGAAGAAGCAGAAATCGAAATTCCAACTTCAAGAACTCTCAGAATCGAAGTAACAGTCGAGGGAGATCAAAAGGAAGATCAAAATCAGTGTCAAGACCAAGAGGAGAAATCACATGTTATCATTGCAACCAGCCCGGACACATGAAGAGAGAGTGCAGAATCTTGAAACGGGAACAAGCTAGAGGAAAAGGTGTGGAAAACCGAGAAAAAGATGATACTACTGCTGCTGCCACAGATGGTGATGTGGTCATTGTTTGTGATGCCGGTTTTTTTAACCTTGCTTGTCAAGAGAGTACATGGGTTGTTGACTCAGGTGCCTCATTCCATGTGACCTCACGGGTTTATCTTTTCTCTTCCTACACAAACGGTAACTATGGTTGTGTGAGGATGGGAAATGATGGTGCATCAAAGATTGTTGGCATGGGTGATATTCATCTAGAGACCAACACGGGTTGCAAGCTAGTCTTGAAGGATGTGAGACATGTTCCTGACATGAGGCTGAATTTGATATCCATGGGAAAGCTTGATGATGATGGTTATACCAACTATTTTGGAGAAGGAAAATGGAAGCTCTCAAGAGGTTCTCTTGTGGTGGCTAAAGGAAAGAAGGAAAGTACGCTCTACATGACGAATGCAAAGCATAGCAAGGGAGGAATCAATGTTGCTGAGAAAGATTCTTCCATTGAGCTTTGGCATAAGAGACTCGGTCATTTGAGCGAGAAGGGGCTGCATATATTGTCCAAGAAACAACTCTTGCCCGGAGCTAAAGGTACTCTTCTTAAAACTTGTGTTCATTGCTTAGCCGGAAAAACTCATAGAGTTGCATTTCATAGATTTCCACCTTCTAGAAGGAGTAAGGTACTTGATCTAATTCACACCGATGTTTGTTTTATGCGAGATAAAACTCTTGGTGGTGCAAGCTATTATGTTACCTTCATCGATGATCACTCAAGGAAGGTGTGGACATATGCTTTGAAAACGAAGGATCAAGTGCTAGATGTTTTCAAGCAATTTCATGCTGAAGTGGAAAGGGAAACCGGCCTGAAGTTGAAGTGTGTAAGGGCTGATAACGGGGGAGAGTATAGAGGTCCATTCGAAAGCTACTGCAGATTGCACGGAATTAAACTGCAGAAAAGTGTACCCAAGACTCCACAACAAAACGGTGTCGCCGAGAGGATGAATAGAACAATTTGTGAGAGAATCAAGTGTATGCTCTCACATGCCAAGCTACCTAAATCATTTTGGGGAGAAGCAATGCGGACAGCGGTTGATCTAATCAATCTCTCACCATCGGTCCCATTGGAGGGTGATGTGCCTCAACGAGTATGGACGGGAAAGGAAGTATCATATGAACACTTGCGAGTGTTCGGTTGCAAAGCCTATGTTCATGTTCCAAAAGATGAGAGAGCAAAGCTTGATGACAAAGCAAAGCCATGTATATTCATGGGCTATGGGCGTGAAGAGTTTGGGTACAGATTATGGGATCCAATTGCAAGGAAAATTGTTCGGAGCAGGGATGTGATTTTTCTTGAAGATGAGACAAGTGAAGACGTCGAAAGGGTTGAAAAGAAGAAAAATACAGCAGCTATATCTCCATCCCAAATGCATGAAAATATTGAGGAAGTAGTGCATGATGAGCCTCAAGGTGCACTAGATCAAGAAGTGCAAGGAGAAGAGAAATTGGAGCAAGAAGAACAAGTTGAAGAAGAGCAACCTCTATGTGAACCAAGAAAGTCAAAAAGAGATCGCAAAGCTTCCACTTGGTACTCCCCTCATGAGTACCTATTGTTGACTGACGGGGGAGAACCCGAATATTATCAAGAAGCCATGTCTCATGAAGACAAGGAGGAGTGGAACAAAGCAATGCAAGAAGAGATGAAGTCTTTACAAGAGAATCACACCTATGATTTGGTGAAGCTACCCAAAGGAAAAAGATCACTTAAGAACAAGTGGGTCTACAAGTTAAAGACGGAGGAAACTAGTTCAAAGCCTCGGTTTAGGGCGCAACTAGTTGTGAAGGATTTCAACCAAAAGAAAGGTGTCGACTTTGAAGAAATTTTCTCTCCCGTGGTGAAGATGTCTTCTATCCGAGCTGTGCTTGGGTTGGCTGCAAGTTTGGACTTGGAAGTTGAACAACTCGATGTGAAGACGGCGTTTCTTCATGGTGACTTAGAGGAAGAAATCTACATGGATCAACCAGAAGGGTTCGAGGTTAAAGGCAAAGAAGATCTTGTATGCAGATTGAGAAAGAGCTTATATGGGTTGAAGCAAGCACCAAGGCAATGGTACAAGAAATTTGACTCATTCATGGTCCAAAACGGGTATGCAAGAACTACCTCCGATCATTGTGTGTTTGTGAAATACTTTGCTGAAAATGATTTCATCATTCTCTTGCTTTACGTGGATGACATGTTGATCGTGGGTCGGAATGTTGGAGAGATTGATAGATTGAAAAAGGAGTTGAGTAAATCCTTTGCCATGAAGGACTTAGGACCGGCGAAACAAATTCTAGGGATGAGAATCTCTAGAGATCGAAGGAATGGAAAATTTTGATTTTCTCAAGAAAGGTATATTGAAAGAGTTCTTGAGCAGTTTAACATGAGCAAGGCTAAGGCGGTTAGTACTCCACTCGGACATTTCAAGGTGAGTGTAAAGCATTGTCCTACAAGTGATGAAGAGAAAGAAGCAATGAAGAATGTGCCTTATGCATCAGTTGTTGGAAGCTTGATGTATGCCATGGTTTGCACAAGGCCGGATATTGCTCATGCTGTTGGGATTGTTAGTTGGTTTCTTTCCAATCCGGGGAAAGAACATTGGAGAGCAGTGAAGTGGATTCTTCGCTACTTGAGAGGTACTTCTAGAGTGTGTCTATGCTTTGGTAATGGCAAGACCATACTTGATGGATATACCAATGCTAACATGGCAGGTGATGTGGACTCTAGAAAGTCGACTTCTGGATACATGATGACTTTTGCAGGTGCTGCAGTTTCATGGCAATCTAAACTGCAAAAATGTGTTGCATTATCAACAACAGAAGCCGAATACATAGCCGTGACAGAAGCTTGCAAAGAGATGTTATGGTTGAAGAAGTTTCTTCAAGAGTTGGGCATCAAGCAAGAGAGGTATGTGCTCTATTGTGATAGTCAAAGTGCAATCCATCTTTGCAAGAATCCTACTTTCCACTCAAGGTCGAAGCACATAGATGTTCGATATCATTGGATTCGTGATGTTTTGGAAGAGAAGTTGTTGGAGCTCAACAAAGTGCATACGGATGACAATGGTTCGGACATGATGACTAAGTCTCTACCAAGTGGAAAACTTATCTTCTGTCGAGATGAAGCAGGTTTGGTGCTACCCCCCATATGAGCTGGAGGGGGAGATTTGTTGGGTTGGTCCAACTCATATGGTGGTTGGATTAACCGGTTTGAGTTTGAGTTTTGGTTTATTTCTAGAAGATCCTCTATTTTCAAAATAGAGAGTTATTGTCTACTTAAAAGTAAAAAGTGGTGACAGCCTTTCATCTTCCTAGAGAGAGAGAATCAGAAAAGAGAAGAGATAGGGAAAAAGAGAGAAGAGAGAAAGAGCTGCTGCTTTTCGTTTCTGCAGCAGGCCAGCCTGTTCAAGTGAGCGTTCTGGAAGATTGAACCGTTGGATCGTCCTGAAATTTGGGAAGTGGGTTTGCAATTGTCTGGGCTTCATTCTGACTGGATGGATCGTCATTCTGAGGACTAGTTCGTTGGGAATCGCTGCTGGACAGAAGGTGTACGAATCTGTTTTTGGGTATCTCTCAACCTTTCTTTGTCTTGCTCTTGTTCTTGTTATTCACCGTGTTGGTGAGAGCTATTGTGGTTGATTGTTGATCCAAGAAGGGTATTCTTGAGGTGTTTTTAATCCTCTAGCTAGTCTAGAGAGGACTTGTAATCCCACCAAAGTCTAGTGGAGTTGTGGCGTGGACAAAGGTCCCGTGGTTTTTCCCGATTTGGGTTTTCCACGTAAAAATCGTGTGTCTTGTGCATTCTATTCTTGCTTGTGGTTGCTGCCCGGTTTCTCAACACATGTGTGTAAACATCCCCAAATACTCGAGTTATGGAGATTATCTGGTTCATGACAACCTAGCTAGTGGCCACTACAATCTTACCAAGGTAAGAAGCTGAAAGTTGTGAACAACCCAGCTATGGAAACTTAACAAAATAGCTCTGCATTCTACTAAATGGATGTAGTCTTTTTCCAACAGAAGTTTTACATACAAAAATCAAGGCAATTGGTTTCTTCAATGGGCATGTAAAGAATCAACACGCCACGTTAAGCAACGGCCAACGAGGCTTCTAACAATGCTGGCATCCAAAATCTTTGTTGCATAAGCTGGCATCCAAAATATTTGTTGACTAATGAGGAAGTGCAGACAACTATCTTTTTCACGATGTAGGATGCATTGCAGCCCTCCGGTCCATTTACAGAATAAGAGTTCTTCGAGCTTGGATTATTGTTGGTGATGATGTGATCATAGTAGTCTAGGAGTGTTATTCAATAATGAAATTTTGTTGCAATTAAGAGGTAAAATGCTATTTCTTAATATCATACGTAGAATTGCTCAAGTTCATGTTTAGAGGAAGAGAACTTTATTTTATATCTGTACTAGAATCAATACCCACGGCTACGCCGCGGGAAATTTAATCGTGTTTAGCATATGTAAAAACAGTATAATCATAACAGAAATCGTTAGAAATTATATACATTATGAATGATTCATGCACGAATAGATGGTGGTTCTAGGTTTGGATGGTTATCTTCCATTGAAAGAAAAGGGACCAATATAATTAAATAGGCTAAATTACAAGTTTGGTCACTTGAATTACTAGTAAAATTCACGTTAGCCATTAGAATTAATTTATTTCATCCATAGTCACTTAAATTAGGTTAATGGTCCAAGTTTGGTCACTGGCCGTTAGTCTCCGTTAACTTTTGTTGATGTGGCGGTCAACTCTAATAGTTGACTGTTAAATAAATGACGTGGCAATTTAAAAAAAATAAAAAATAATTTTTATAATTTCCACCTCATTATAATAATAAATTAAAATTAATAAAACATAAAATTAACAATTGTAATTATCGAAAGTGCAAAAGCAGAGGAGTACTTCAGAATCTTGGTTCTGGGATTGACGGGTCGCCGGATGACGGAATCACCGATGGCGACGTTAAGCAGGGAAGGCCCTAACTGGCGAAGGGTTGAGCAGGCAACATGTGAGATCGTAACTCGGATGGTGGTTACTCAAGCGGCGTGAATAGAGACGGCGACCACTCGGCGGGGAGGGATGGGGGCTCGAAGGTGGAGAGGGCGAAGAGGAGGAAGGAGAAGACCCAGATGCCTGATTCTGCTCCCTACCTCACTGTCAATCAACCATGAAAATCAAGCATAAAGATAGAAGACACATGATTTACGCGGTTTCCCTGTTCGATATGAACATGACTAGTCCACGGAGAGTTCTCCACTCTCAGGCAATATATTACGATAGATTTTCTGTCTCCCTTGGTTACATGACCTAACACATATATATAGGGCTCTAATAGACGTAACCCTAGCTCTTACTATATTACATAAGTACAATAATAACCTGGCTATATATATATTAACAGCCTCCCCCAAATTGATGGGCGGTACGCACCATCAATTTGCCAGATAAAAACCAATGTCGAGAAGAAGACACCGCTTTAGTCAAAAGGTCGGCAATCTGATCTTCCGATGTAATATAGTAGAGCTTGAGACACCTGTCTGCAACAAGTTCCCGGATGTAATGCACATGCACCTCAATGTGCTTAGTGCGATCATGTAAAACCAGATTGTTGGCAATCTGAATGGCACTAGTATTATCCCCATAAAGCCGCATAGGCAGAGAGATAGGAACCCCGATTTCTTCAAAAATACGGCACAACCATACGAGTTCAGAACTCACCTCAGACATCGACCTATACTCAGCTTCAGTGGATGACTTGGACACCTTATCCTGCTTGCGACACCGCCATGAAATGAAATAACCACCAAACTGGACACACCATCCTGACGTTGAACGCCGAGTGTCAACACAACCTGGGAAGTCAGCATCAGCATATGCATGTAAAGTAGCAGACCCATGAGATGGAAGAAGAAGACCAACATCCTGAGTTTCCTGGAGGTAACGGAGGATACGATGAACAACATGAAGGTGGGTGGTGCGAGGAGCAGACATATACTGACTGGCGATCTGTATGGCATAGGCAAGATCAGGGTGAGTGTGAAGAAGGTACATAAGGCTCCCAACGATCTGGCGATACTGTGTGCCGTTAGGAAGGGGATTTCCATCATCCCTGCTAAGCTTCAGATTCTGTTCAAGAGAGGTAGAACTAGGAATGCAATCAGCAATATACTTCCGCTGGTGAAGAAAAATGCCATTTGCGTTCCGCTGCACTTCTAATCCAGAAAATAGGAGAGATGGCCGAGATCCTTGATGTTAAAAGATGACCGGAGTGAAGCCGTGAGTTCGTCAATACCATCAAGATCACTGCCAGTGATGATCATGTCATCGACGTAGATAAGCAATAATACAATACCATGCACAGTACGTCGAAGAAAAAGAGAGGGATCACAAGTACTCTGAGTGAAACCAGCCTGGCGGACTGCCTGATGAAACTTATCAAACCAGGCACGAGGTGCCTGCTTAAGACCGTATAACGATCGATGAAGAAGACAAACCATGGAAGGATCACCACGAGTGTATCCGGGAGGACGTTCCATATAAAATGTCTCTTTCAAGTCGCCGTGTAAAAAAGCATTCTTGACATCAAGTTGACGGAGAGGCCACTGACGAATAGAAGCCACGACGAGAACACTACGAACTGTCTGCATACGAACAACATGAGCAATCGTTTCATTATAATCAATACCGAACTCCTGAGTAAACCCCTGGGCAACAACCCGAGCCCTGAAACTCTCCAAAGAGCCATTGGGGTTAAGCTTGACATTGTAAACCCAGCGCGAGCCAACAACGGGAACTTCAGGCGACGGACGCGGGACCAAGTCCCACGTATGATTTCTTCCAGGGCATCTACTTCAACATCCATAGCCGCATTCCACTTCGGGTCTTGACAGGCGTGACGATAGCTATGGGGAATGGCGATCGGAGCTACAGAGAATGTAACATAGTTGTTAGTCAAATAAGTGGGCGGCTGGCCCAAATTGGAGCGATGCGATCGGCGGAGAGGAGGGGCATCGTCTGTAGGAGGAGGTGACGGTGGATGGACATCATCTGCAGGAGGAGGTGACGGTGGATCAGGAACCAGCGGCTCCTCGGGTGTGGGTATAACGACCTCATCATCATCATCATCAATCACCAGAGAGCGGGGAAAGGTCTGCAAAAAATCACGGGGGGCCAGTACTAGAATCCGCCAAATAGTACATCAAATTTTTAAAGAAAACAACGTCCCGAGAAATACGGAGACGACGCTGAACATGATCATAGCATAAGAAGCCCTTGTGACGATCACTATACCTGATGAACACACACTTGGCAGCCTTAGGGCTCAACTTGTGACGTTCACGGGGGGCCAGCAGAACAAAACACGTGCAGCCAAACACGCGAAGCTGAGAATAGTCAGGTTGTCGAGAGAAAAGACGGAAATATGAAGACTGATCATCAAGTGTGGATGTGACCTGGCGATTGATCGAGTAGATAACAGTATGAACGACCTCAACCCAAAAATGATGAGGAACATGAGAATGAAGAATAATCGCACGAGCTAACTCCAAAACATGGCGGTTCTTACGTTCAACCAAGCCATTCTATTGCGAAACACCCGGACAAGATTGTTGAGATAAGATACCTTCATACTTATAGAATTCATGAAGAGGAATGGAGTTAAACTCACCCCCGGGATCGAATCGCAGAATCTTAATAGTCGTCGAAAATTGGGTCTGAATCATGCGGATAAATTCCTTTGCAACGGAGAGAAGCTCATATTTAAAACGCAAGAAGTACACCCAAGTATATCTTGTGGCCTGATCGACGAACAGAGCAAAATAACGATACCCCATAAGGGACGAGGTCCCCCATAAGTCCGAATGAATCACGTGGAACGGCTCAGTAATAGTACTGGTGTTGGCAGAGAACGGCAACTGTGCCATCTTGGCGAAAACACAACTCATACATTTAGAAGCAGAGGCCAACGAAAGATCACACTTATCAGGTAAAAGATTCTGTTTAAACATCGTATGTAAACGCACAGAATGAGGATGGCCCAACCGAGAATGCCATAATTGACACACACTATCCAGGCTAGAAGCCGAAAAAACAAAAGGAGACACACTTTTGTCAAAACAAAAAGGAGCAAGTTTCTTGTCGGTGGAAGACGCTCCATTCACTAGATCCTGTCGCGGCAACAACATCCCACCAAGCCCAGGATAAGGAGAAGAAAAATGATCTAACCGGTACACTTGACCCTGCTTACTCCCGCGGCCCATTATCGTCCCCGTTTTCTGGTCCTGCACAAGACAACCACGATCATCAAAGACAACTCGGCACCCCTGATCCGGCAATTGCCCAACACTAACCAAATTGGGAACCAAGTTGGGAACATAGAGAGTGTTGGATAAGTGAATCTGAGAACTACGAACATCACCAATCTCATGAATCGACATATTCGCCCGAACAAGTGGTTAAAGGCGGTAGTGTCGAGAAGCCAAGAAGAAGTACCCGAACAAGACGTAGCGTTAAAAGCTACGTTAAGAGCAGTGGGAAGAACACGCTAAAGAGCCTGCTGAAGCAAAGTATCCAAAGATTCAGGAGATAGGCGGGTCGGCACAACAGAAGCAGCAGCAACATGAGTGGGCTGAACAGCGAACGAAGGACCAGAAGAGCCATGATAGCCTGTGGCACCATTTGTTCGTGGATGAAGGTTCTTCAGCCGAGGACAGTCAAGTATAATGTGGCCGGTGCGCTTGCAGTACGTGTAGAGATTGCGAGTGCGACAATGAGGTTGGATATGACCGGGTTCCTGGCAATAGTGGCAGCGAATATCACCAGAAGGAGGAGAGACAAACTGAGGACGGGAAGCAAGCGCTGGACGAGCACCACCAGAAGAAGAGGACCCACCCGCAGCTGAAGGAGGAGTATAGCGACGGGCAGCTGTGGCAGCAAAGGCCGCGTTGGCATCATGAAAATGTGTATCCACAGTAGCCTGAGTCTGAATCTGACGTTCTTCACGAGTAAGTTCAGGAAGAGCTGCCTCAACCGTAGCAATATTACGGCTAAGGAGACCAGCTCGCATAGTTTCATAGACAAGGTTGAGTTTGGATTAATTCCCAAAATACAGTAATAATTAAAAAAAATTCCCAGAATACCGAACTTTTAAAAAAAATTCCCAAACTACCAAAGTTTGACATAGTTCGAGTTCACAAAACTCGAACTAGTAGTGGATCGATTGCCAAAAACACGATCCAGGTGAATCGAGGATGGAACACTCGAACCACATGAAGTGGATCGATGAGATGGGTAGCGCTCCACCATAGATCGATTTACTAGGACGCGATCAGGGTCGTTCGATTGCTCAACCATCGAAGCAGTGATGACCCGGATCGAGTGCGGTAAACTCGAGGTAGGTGGATCGAGTCAGGTATAATCGATCCAGTTGACGCGGATCGATGACGTCAGGCGCGCCCCACCGTTGATCGAGTGGTCTAAACTCGATCTAGGCCGTTCGACTGTCAAACCCGCGAAGAAGGGATGACGCGGATCGAGTGCGTCAAACGCGATGACGCGGATCGAGTGCCTAAAACTCGATGCAGTGGATCGCTGATGTCAGCCTCGATCAACCGTTGATCGATTACCCTAAGCTCGATCTGGTTCGTTCGATGCGCCTAACCACGATCTGCTTTTGACGCGGATCGAGTGCACAAAAATCGATGCACTAGTTCAAGTTTTGTAAACTCGATCCACTCTCCCACAGAACCTATAAATACCCCCCCTCATATTCCACCAAAACTCACACCACTCCATTCTTCTTCCTCTCTTCCTCCCACCACTCTTGAAGAAAAAAATATGCTCTGTGGTTGCGGCTAAGCCCGATCTTCCGCATCAGATTTTTTTTCTTTAGTTTGGTACTTCTATCACTCAAAATTGTCGAGATGGATCCGAGTATTTACGATCCTAGATTATACATTCAAGGTGGACCGCGAGAAACCGATTTGTTGGATGAGCAACCTTACCATCGGTCTGAAAGTGTTTGGGCGGCAGATCCGGTAGGCACTTCCTCATGTACTTTTTTTTAATGTGATAGTATTCTTCTAATATTTTTGTATAATAATTAATGTTTTTTTTTCTACAGGAACAACTTGACGTAATCACCCATCGGTCGCTATCTCGCTTGCCTAAATGGGATGATCGTATCGAGCCCTTCATTGAAAGAGCGCGATTGCTGAGGGTGCGAAAGTTTGTGGGGATGGAGATGGACAACAACCTTCTTACGGCAATGGTGGAAAGATGGAGAAAAGAAACGCACACATTCCACCTTCTAGAGGGAGAGATGACGATTACGTTGAAGGACGTAGCCATGCTGACAGAGCTTCCAATCGATGGTGATGCAATAATAGAAAGTTCTTCAAAACCATTGAATGGTTGGGGCCAATATATAAGCGAGCGTTTAGGTATCATCATCCCAGAGGAAGCAGAAGAAGGTCGTCGTGTACCACCTCTACACAAGTCTATGCTATTGATACCTTGGCTAGTGAGGACCGCTGGGGAATTACCGGAGGATGCCACGGATGCTCAGATAGAGAGGTATGCTCGCATCTACCTTATTTGTTTGGTTGGAGGATTTTTGTTTGGTTGGAGCAATAATAGAAAGTTCTTCAAAACCATTGAATGGTTGGGGCCAATATATAAGCGAGCGTTTAGGTATCATCATCCCAGAGGAAGCAGAAGAAGGTCGTCGTGTACCACCTCTACACAAGTCTATGCTATTGATACCTTGGCTAGTGAGGACCGCTGGGGAATTACCGGAGGATACCACGGATGCTCAGATAGAGACATATGCTCGCATCTACCTTATTTGTTTGGTTGGAGCATAGAGAGGATGTTGTGGCACCATCGTGTAGTGAGGTGTGGGGGGCTCAAATTCCCCCTCATCAACTTCCAGATCTTCACCATCTGAACTACTCATTAATTCTAACTCTTCATCTTCCATGTCGCTTGCCTCGCTAGTGTACGGAGGACTTGGTTTATCCACATATGGATCATTGTTGATGCCAGATGCTGGTGTAGATGCTTGTCTGGGTGCCCTTATGTAATCCCATTCTTCACCCCATACTGGCCACTCCTGTCCGTCACCAATGGACCAGTTGCAGTTCGATCCTCGTATGTTGGCCATGGTGCATCATGCCACACTCTGAAATCTCCTGAACCGGAAAACCCTCCCGATCCTTCACCGTGTTCGGTATAACCGCCGCCACCATATTGGCCAAAAACTTCTGTTTCGACATACACCTCAGCACTTGGAAATCTGTTCTCTGCAATAAATCTCACCATCATATTAATGTCATCATCGTCAGACAAAACTGATCCTTCATATACAAGTGCATAATCCTTGTAAACCGGCATACGGTAAGTCATCTTGCATACTCTTCGCCCTGCTATGCAACATCGTTCAGCACAAATATGACTGAGTTCTTGCCAAGTAAATATGCTCTCAATCCGGACAATACTTGATTCACCATCTTCGTAGTCAATACTATCATGAAAGTGTGTAATTCGACCATTCCACCGAATCTTTAAGTCGAATTTTCGAAATTTTCTACCCATTTCTGCAGTTTATACAAGCAGCTCATTACATACAGTACAAACAATACTAAATTAATCTAAAATTCTAATATGCTCATTCAAACAAAGTAAGCAGAACTTACCTCCAAATTTTTTCTTCTTTGCTCAGCTATGGTGCTCCAGCAGCTGCAGTTTGTGTTTGGAAGAAAGAAGATAGAAAGGAAGAGTGCTGCCAGAAAGTGCTCAGTGATGGCTTTTATTTATCGTAAACTGATGGAGTGGGTCGAGTCCAGTACACTCGAACTACACTAGTTCGAGTTCATTAAACTCGATCTATGTCGACCAATAATTTCCCCCCTGCGCCCTATTCTGGCGCATGTCGGATAGAAAGCGACTAGACAGAATGATTGAGCAAGTAGTTCGAGTTTAGTGTAATCGAACTAAACTAGTTCGAGTTTCTAAAACTCGATCTGCTACAACAAAAATCTTATCCCTGCAACCCTATCCTGAAGCATGTCGGTGGGCCAGTAGTTCGAGTCTTATGGCCTCGATCTAGTCCAGACAAAGATCGAGTGAGTTAAAGTCGTTGCTCTACATCGAGGATTTTGAAGTCGATCTTACTTGATCGAGTGTTTTATACTCGATCTACTGAGATCGTGTCTCCTGCAATCGATCATAGTTGTTCGAGTCTTCTAAAGTCGAACCACTAGTGATCGAGTGTTTAAAAGTCGATCCACTTTTGGTTCGAGTTTCTTATCGTCGAACTTGTGAGTAGTTCGAGTCCCATAAACTCGAACCCGTTGAAACTTGGGTAGTTTGAGAAAATTTTATAAAACTTATGTATTCAGGGAATTATGTATAATTTTTGCTGTATTCTGGGAATTCTTCCGTTGAGTTTGGACAAGAATTGCATGAGCCGAGTCTTCTTTTGAGAAGCAATGACCTCGGCAGTTAACGTTTGTGAGAGCAAAGTTGCAGTCATGAGATCCAGCTCAATCCACAAATTAGTAGCAGCCCGATAATATTCCCGAACAGATTTGTCGCCCTGTGATAAGAGAGCAAGCTGATGCTCGAGTTCAAACTGACGGGAAGAGTCGAACTGAGCATGGGAATCCCGAAGATGAACCCACATGGCGGCCGCCGTAGGGAAGGAGCGGAGAGTGAGAGCCACTGTTGGTTCAACCGAGCGGAGGAGCCAGTTCTTAATCCTCGCATTGTTGCTTTTCCATGTGGTAACAACATCAGCTTGAGCTGCATCCCCGGATCGACACGAGAGAGTCCCATCGAGAACACCCAACAAACCCTTCCCTTCCACAAAGGTACTAAACTGGAAGGCCCATAGAGGATAATTGGTATCGGTGAGTTTATCACCAAGAGAATCACCACGTTCCAACTCCATAATCAGAAATGGACAAAGCAGCAAACAAAAGAAAGGGAAGAAGACACCCAAAATCTGGCGAAGGCGCAACAAAGAAGACCGCCGCAAGAAGGAGTCGAAAGAGAGCAGTCCCAAGAATAAAGGACTCAGGTACGCAGCTGAACCAAGTACCAGCCAAGAGAGAAGACCTGCGGAGAAGCAATGAAGCAGAAAAGGCCTAGAGAAGACAGGCACAATTCCACGAAAACCTAGCCGCGAAGAAAACGCGGACAAACCGAGAAGCAAGTAATCTCGATAATCGATTACAGAAGCTCTAATACCATGTCAATCAACCACGAAAATCAAACATAAAGATAGAAGACACAGGATTTACGTGGTTTCCCTATTCGATATGAACAGGACTGGTGCACGGAAAGTTCTCCACTCTCAGACAATAATATTACGATAGATTTTCTGTCTCCCTTGGTTACATGACCCAACACATATATATAGGGCTCTAATAGACGTAACCCTAGCTCTTACTATATTAAATAAGTACAATTATAACCCGGCTATATATATATTAACACTCACAGGATTCTCGAAATCGACGAACCGTCTCGGACCCTAACCGTTCTCCGAGCCGACTACAGGGAAATCCTCTGCTATGACGATGACCCCGGTAACACCACCGTGGACCCGGGTCCCTTCGATTTCGCGCCAGACACTCAATTCGCCGCGATGTACCGTGACTGCCCTCCGCCGGCGTACGAGACTCAGCTCCCGATGAGCTTGGGCGAGCTCAATTACGACCAGGATATGGTAGGGAGTTACTGCCTGTTAGCGAGGATCACGTCGGGGGATTCGACGGTTCCGTCAGGAAATTGTTGGGATCGTGCAGCAACCCAGTTTTGGTCCCTGTAAATCGGAAGAAGCTCGTACCTTTGCTTCCACCATCTCTGCCCCAACTCCATTGATTTATTATTATTTTTGGTTTTATTTTTCATACTTTTGATAATTATAATTAGGTGGAAGGAGAAGACCCGGTAGGGATGAAGATAATTAGGTTTTATTTTTAATAATTTTGATAGTGAGGTTGAAAATAAAAATAGTTAAATTTTATTTTTTTTAAATTTTCACGTCACTCATTTAACAGTCAACTATTAGAGTTGACCGCCACATCAGCAAAAGTTAAGGGAGACTAACGACCAGTGACCAAACTTGGACTGTTAACCTAATTTAAGTGACTATGGATGGAATAAATTAATTCTAGTGGCTAACGTGAATTTTACTAGTAATTCAAGTGACCAAACTTGCAATTTAGCCTAATTAAATAAGAATGGTAGGCAAACATCAGTGACAAAACTTCCGATATGGATATGGGTGGCACACCCTTCTAAGTTTCCAGGCTGTGTAAATGAATACATCTTATAAGATTTACGCAAGGCAAGAATGATTATAAGCGCCTCAATAGAAGAAGAGTCTACTAATCATCTCTAAGCATAAATGAACTAAATGTTGCTTGAAGTTTGGCATAGGATACCTGCATAAAAACCCATTCAAACATAACACTTGCAAACTGCAGCAGCCAAGAATAGCTATACATTAGGCAATACTAAATCCAGAATTTACAACTTAAAAGTTAAAGCCCCTATTTGTAGTTCAACAACGGTAAATGGATATATAGGCTGAAGAAATCCCATTTCACACTAGTAGGGTAAAGAAAACAGAATTGCAACCTCTATTTTGGTAAGGTCGCTTTCTGATTCTGCAACAACCTGAAGTATGAAAGAAACCTGTGACTATCAAATTTGTTTGCAGTTCACTGTCTAATCTACAAAGATCACACTCTGTAGTAATCTAAGTAGAATCACTAATTGGATTGAACACAACAATGTCCAATACACATTTGCCAAAGCTGAAAAGTGATAATTGCAATAACTTTATCTGTAATAGGAACTAAAATACTATAACATTAGATGTCTTAGCCAATGTGATCCCCATCAGTATATATCAATTGATTATGACTATCCAAGATGACACTTTACATCAAATCAAGCTTCCATTGCCACCACCTGATCTGATTGCCAACTGGAAAGGATTTTCACATTGATCAGGACTGCGTTGTTGAATGGAGTTGCTCTCCAGCTACAATTCCCTAGTTTCTTTTAATATCCGCTCTATGCACCATCTTGTTTCCAGCTGTTTTTTGTAATCAATTTGACCCTCTTCATGTAGGAGACTATAAATGGTTGCTTGCTTTGCTTCTCGAAATCTCTACAATCGTATGTTCAACCAATAATGCTGGATTTTTAGAATCTGAAGGTTAGTTCCTTCTAAATTAAGCAAGTCAGACGACAATTTAGGTCATTTAAGAATTTGAGACACCCACCTCCAAGTACCAGTGACAGAGGACTCCCACCGCCCCTATTAAACAGATAGAGAGTAGAGAATTCAGTCTTCAAGTTCAAACTCTAGTCTAAACAGCAAGGTAAAGGGAAAGAAAACCTTAGAGAAACAACACGGACCCGGTCAACCTCTAATTTGTTTAAATGTACAACAATAAAAACTGTTTCACATAAAATAATCATCGAAGATGTATGGCTTCTTATATAACTGAAACTTAAGATGTAATGTATGTTCCAAAGTCTCAAATCATAACCTTGAAAAAGAAACTACCAGTTTGTGAAAATGTAGTTCATAGAACTGAATGGCTATAACTGAAAGGAATGTTAATGATTTTGGCACTTCATTCTTGCCAGATCAACGACAATTTCATTCAAGCACTAATATATCATTATATAGCAGAACACAAATTAAAGTCTAATTTACTTAGTACCGAGGTTGTTAGAGGAACTGCAATCTAATTTGAAGGGATTAAATACCTCATGGATTGTGAAGGTGCTCTTCCACCCTGCATAGCCATTTCACCAAGCTTATGTTTCTTGTTGAAGTCCTTGCTTTTGGCAATCACCACTATGGTTAATTGGTTATTGTGACCACTCTCATGTCTGCAACTACAGGTTCCAAAAGCAAACAAATAACTTGTTTTCTCAACGGAAGAATTACGAACACAATGCACTATTTTGGCCCTGAAGTCGCATCCTCTTAATATTGAAAATTTCTCTAATAATTTGTATCCCTTTTAAATTATAAAAGGCACTAAAATACAAAGCTAGAAAGTAACGTGGCTGATACCAACTTTGCATATGGAGGAGCCAATATAAGCACAAACTATTTTGAACATGAGTGGATGATTTCTTGATCATATAATCATTAAACCTCACTTTAAATGCTTTTTACATGATGATAGTTGGACTGATGATTCGAGCATGAGGAGATGGTTTAAGTTGATTGATGAATTACCTATAAATAATATGAGTTTAATTGTAAATATGTAGCTGTGAAATAGCAAGTATAGATAGGTTGGCACATATGTGACTAAAAATTAGCAAGGAAACACATCAGATTACCTAGAGAATTTTGAACAAATATAAACCAAAATTAAGAAAAGACACTTAGATGGATGAATAAGGGCAAGCGAAAATATCCTCTCTTCTAGCAGCAACTCAATCAGTATAACATAAGATCTTCGAGCAAAGGAAACACTTAAGTATAGAAGCTTAAATGATACTTGATTTGGAGGTTTTAACCTCTACCACCAGTTAACCATGACTACCTCGGTACTGTCTGGTTTGTTCCGTGCGGGTTTGCCTCAGTTGGCCAAGGAATCTAGCCCCACAGTAAGTCAGTAACCCACAATAAAGGTCAAACTACATCCAAAACCAGAGGGGATTAAAGCACAGAACTATCTGCACAACCATCTCTTCTAGCGCAGTTTGCACTGCTAACAAAATAACAAAGTATCCATATCTAATCAAAGGCAATTTACACTACAAAATAACAAAATAGCAGTTTGGCGATGATGAAGATCCTGCTACCTTCCCTGCAGAGTGCAGCTTCATCTGCTCTACACGGATGTGGTTAGCATCTATCTGTACGGAAATATAAGAAGAAGTGTCCTCTTAATTTAAAGGCTTTAGTTACTCATGAAATAAAATCACAATATGCAAGAGCATTGCTAAGAATAAGTACAATATATATATATGGTGCCTTCTACAGTACCCCGGGTGAAATTGAGGGTACCGCATACCTTAAGTATGAAAACACGATCTAGACCTCGAATTAGCAGGATTTGTGGGCATGATACTATACCCTAACCCTTAATGAGTGAACCCTAGGTCCTAATCATAAACTATAAACCCTAAGATGGTCCATTGATTTTTTTGCCTATATTTGGACGAATCATAACCGTCGATTATTGTTTGTAATTAAATTGATCTTGGGGTATAAGATTTAGAGAATTAAGGCCTATATTTTGATCTTTAAGGGTTAGAGTATAGTATCATGTCCGAAAGATCAGTAAATTCAAGTTCTGGATAGCATTTTTTTACTCAAGGTATGCGGTACCCCGGACCGTAGAACTCCCCATATATATTAAAATTAATAGCACTTACTTGAAGAGTTTCAAAGGTCTATGGAATGGACTGGAACTGGCAAGTACTGATGGTGAACAAAATTAGTTTCATATGGAAGCTATAAGGTCCAGGGATGAGAGGCGAAGCGAACAGATCCATGAAACCCAAGCAATTCAGAAAAGGTTCTGAAACTTTTAACTGTAGAGAGATCATGCAACTCCTCTTGAACCCCATTATGAGCAGCAAGGATGGTGATTTTGTTTAACTGAAACAACAATATATATAGCAAAGGCAAGCACACTAAGTCTCATAGAATGTCAAAATAAATGAATCAGTGAGTTAGATCGAGAAAATCAATAGAGAAGGAAAAATAAGATTGACATTCAAGCTATTCTTGTTCCGCTTCTTCTGAGAACTAATTTGAACGCACCTCTTTTTGTATATCTCTGTCTCGCCCCACACCAAAATTTGGTGATGAATTGAGCCCAGAACTGAGAGGCAAACACGACAGGCGAGGACATTAAACAACCACCAGATCATTGAAAACTTCAGTGGCCTTTCTATATATGGAGAAAAGAGAGGAAACAAAAGTCTAGGCAAGCAAGCAAAAATCAATAGTATGAAGTGAAAATCGTACCGATAGCTATTTGCGAAAGGATGACACCTTCGTTGTCGTCAGCAATCTTCTCCTCGTCGGAGCTGCTGTTGCGGACCTCGACCAGAGAGAGCGAAGAGAATCCATGTATGTTGCTGCCAAAATCAACGTGAGCTAAAAGCAACGATTTTTTTTTACTCTTTTCTGCGCGCAAACTTTCTTCAATCACCTGCGGAAAAATCAATGATCCTTGCAGCTCAGCTGGTCGTCCCTGGTGCCAATGGAGGATTCTAACCATCGTTGACTCTGAATTTTGCCTAACGACTGTAGTCGAAGAGAGAGGAAGAACGAAAAGGTTGGGATATGGATGAGAGTTAGGGGGTGCTAGGTTAGATAATTGGAAAGCAAGGAGATGGGAGAAACGACTGATGGGATGGAGGGATGATTTTGTCAGCAACAATGTAACAGGAAAGGATAGTGAGAGTATGAGAGGAGATATATTTATGAGGGAGACTGAGGTGGTTGGCAGAAAAAGAGGGAAGGTGAAGGGATTGCACAGTGGAGTTGACAACTGTTTTCAAAAGCCTGGAAACCAAAGCTCATTTACACTATGTTTCCGAAGGAAGGGAGGAAAATGGAGGGGAGGAGAATTAGGAGGGGAGGGACAATTTGGAGGTTAAGGAAAGTGGAAGGAAAATGTGTATTGGGAATTGTGATGTATATGTTATTTTATTGGGTATGTAATAGTGAAATAATTTGATTATATATAGATATTATTTTCATTGCTTATAAATTGTGAATTAAATTTTTACTTTCTTGCTAATTTTGTCCACTATTAAAAATCAAAAGTATATCATTTGAAAAAAGGTGTCAACCTATTATTAAAATTTCGTTTGCTAATTTGTTGATTTATCAACATAGCAACTAAAAACATAAACAAATAACACATCACGCTACACATACACAAACTCTTCTAAAAGTTGGTCATCTGCTAATACTAGACATATATAAATTCGTCCAATAGTCTGGTAAAACCGTCCATACGGTACAATTTCACAAACATTGATTTTAATAAGCAAATAAGATCACATTCCATAATTATATTTGCCTATAATTATTCATGATAAGATCCTTTCCTAAACTATGTTTAACAAGAAATAATTTATTTAGAAATAAAAAAGTCCAAGAATATTTTAAAAATACAAATGATAGACATGTGAAGTGTAATACTTATAAAAAGAAGTATCAATAATTATTACCAATGTTACAAAACATACTATACCTACGATTTAACCTAACAAACTCATACCGAAAGCAAAATCGGTAGGTGATAGTTAACGATTGAAACTCTAGTAAGTTTTTCGATCCTTAATTATTATTATATCTTCTTATTACAAATTAATGATACAATTATCTTCCAAATTCATAATACTTCATGTTAAATAGGAAAAGGTTGAAAAATTAACGGAAAAACATCCCTTAACTTAATATATTAATATCTTCCAAATTCATAAACCCCCTTATAAGAGAAATTATATACTCATTATGAAAAAAACCAATAATAATATATCATATCATATATGAGGAATGGGTACCGAAAACTACAATATATGATATATATATATATAAACAAAACGAATAATATAACATACAAAGGAAAATAAATAACCAAAGAAGGAAGTGGTGGGCACCACCACCGTGACTCCACCAAGTCTACTTTCTCCCCAAATCGGAGGGGCTGGGAGAACAGTAAGTTTTCTTTCCTATTTCCTATTTCCTTTCCGCTGGCACTGTAGCGGTCTTAAAAAACAAGGGAAAAGCCCTCGGGAATGGTGTTTTCCATTCAATCCTTCCCTTCCCCTCATTTTCCCTCTTAAAAAACAGAGTGTTAAAAAGCCTGGAAACCAGAGATGACAACTCTTCTCCCAATGCACAGTGGAGTTGTTGCTGGTTCTGTACAAGTAGTTGTGCATGGGCGGTGGTGCTGCGAAGAGGAGGTAAGTTGGAGAAGCACAGTGGAATCGTTCGTCAAAGGAATAGAGGGGAAAAGCATGAAAGGTCTCTCTGCTGGGTCGCGGGAGATAAGCTATCCATGGCAGGCTGTCCCAAAACATTTTGCTGAAGTTTGGAGAGAGCTAGGCACTAAACGCCGAATAATGAAATAGTAAAGAGAGCTTTGGGCAAAAAGCGTTCCCCGCTTTTATGTTTTAATTAAATATTTAAATTAAATTTAAAAGAAAGAATGCTTTTTCTATGTCTATAATTCGTATTATTATTACTTTTTTATTTTGCCAATTAATTTCGTAGTTTATTAGTTTTGCTCACACTACCTTTGTTGAAGGTAGAGGGAGGGAAGGATAGAGAATAATATGAACTTTCAATACATGAGTTAGTAATTAAGGGATTGCTATATAAAATGGAAACATCTCTTCTAGATGTGTTTTCAAGGTGAAACAAATTAAATTAGTTAACTATGTCGCCTTGTTTGTGGTGGGATTTGGGTTTTCCAAGATGTATTTGAAAATTTTCATTCAGTATACAAAGTTTTTTGTTTTTGTTTTTTTAACCAAGATAAGCCCTCAAGGCATGGCCGTACAACATAGTTACAAGATGGATAATAATAAAGAACGGTAGTCCATATGCAACCAGACTCCAGATAAAGATCTTGAAATGTCACGAGGTGGGCAGCTCTGTGAAAGCTCCGAAGAGCAAAAGCACACGAAACTGACTCGGATAGGGAGGGAAAAAAGAGCACTTCCCCACGAACACTCTGTTTGAGAGTGATAAGCATCGAATGTGCGTCCAAATGCAAAAGCGGAGATGAGATCCCCTGCAAAACAACAAACAATGTACATAATTTTACAACATGAGGTATAAGAAATCACTTAAGGCATAGTGACTTACCAAAAATAACAACAAAATTATGTTAGTAAGAGTGGAACTGGTTTAACTGTTGATGACTCGATATTTGCACATGTTTTCCCCTTTGTTTCTTGATCGTTTGAGCTTTAATTATCGCATTTTCTTTGGCCTATTTTACGCTAGGTTGTGTTCTTTTGTCACATTTCAGGTCCTAGCACATAAACTGAAGCATAGGTGCAAGTTTCAAGTCAATCAGAGATCAATTGGCGATTAGGGAGAAGAAACTCGGGCATGACCTGAATAAGAATGGATTTCTACTTCACTTATGGACAAAGAATCATGCAAGCTTGTCATGAAAAGAAAGAGTACGAGACTACGAGCGTCTGGGATCAAACGGCGACTGATTCGGAGTCCGGACGAGGAAGAAACGAAGCATTGAATATAGGGGAACAGGTTCGGCAGTAAAAACACGGGCGCACCTAAATCAAAACACGGTCGTGTCCATATTTAGGTACGACCGTGTTTTGGCTGACGAGGGCTGCTGGGGGAAAAACACGGGCGGGAAAAAGTGAAACACGGTCGTGTCCTCGACCGTGTTTTGCCCAGAATCGGGTTTTTTAGGCAGATTGAAGCAAAAGGAAAGGGGGACCTGGGTTTTGGATCCCAAACACCCAAGGGACGAACCAAAGAGAGAGAGGGCGATTTGAGGGCATTCTAAGAGTGGAATTGGAGGATTTCTTCGCCTTGGAAGCTTGAGGAACAAGCCCGGACTTGAAGACTGATCATCTGAAGATTCTTACTGCAGTCTCTCTCTTCTCTATGGAGTAACTTCCCTTCACTTAGGTTTTGAGGAACCCTAGCTATGTTTGTTTGATTGGATGATTGTATGAGTACTCTGACTTGGTAATCTTGAGTTCATATTCAATCTATGCATGTTTTCATGATTCAATTCTACTTTAGTCGAGATTATTGATTCTGCTTTGATCCTATGAGAGCGAATACCTGATTAGGTCAATAGAGCACCATAGATTGATAGTAGTGGATCGATTGCTTTAGTCGAGGGTTGATTCACTGCTTTGTATCGATTGAGAACCTCATTCGATAGAGGGAATCTAGTTCAGAACGTCTTGATCGGTTGTCCTAGAGAAGGATACGTCCCTCTAGGCAATTGACTCAAGAGGGCCTTGTTCCTTTAGTCGAGACTCAAGGTCTATTCAAGGATTCTCCGCATTGTGAATGAAAGTGAAACAAGTTAGAAATCATCAATCGTTAATCTGGCTAGTGGCTAGGGGGAATCATACCTAAGTGAGTTCCCAACCTGTAATTAGATTAACTTTAACTGTAGTTTGCTAGAGTAGTTTTAGTTCTTCCTTATTAATCTGGTTTGCTAAATAATAAACTGAAGCTGAGTAATAGTAACTCTAGAGACCCGTGGATTCGATATTTATTACTTGAGCCACTATACTGCAGTCCCTTCCATTGGTCACACTTGGCCATTGTTAGGAGTTGTGTCATAGCGAGTCAAGTTTTTGGCGCTGTTGCTGGGGACTTTCTAGATTATTAGGAAAGGCAGAAGTTTGTTACTTTAGCGTTTTTCTTTTCTTTTCTTTTCCACCCTTTCTTTTCACTTGGGTGTTTTTGTTTTTGTTGGTGCAGATCTGAATCATGGATCCTCATGGCTTCTCCAACAATTGGGGGTATCCACCACCACCCGAGTGGTATTACCCCGAGACTCCCTGGAGCAATCAAGGAGGAGAAGACTATGGATTCGGGTTCCAGTACCAACCCCCTTACTACGGAGAACAACCGGACCCCTGGGCATATCAAGAACAACCTCATTACCAAGAAGAATTTCTCCCACAACCAGAAGGGCCATCGGCGCTGGAGTTACCCATGGCGGCCTTCACGGGCCATTCTGCAGAGCCATGTTACACTCCGCAGCCAGATCCAAACTATGAATTGAGACTTCTTGTGGAGCAGTATGCTCGCAAGATGGACCTCCTTTTCTCATCTGTTGCTCCTCCTAACTCTTCATCCCTCCGTGAATCGGAGGAGACTGTTTCGCACTCATCAAAGCAACCAGAGCGGGTTGAGCAAGTTTGTGCACAACTTGCTCAAGATCACCCGTCTACTACCATACTAGAAGAGGAGGAGGAAGAAGAAGGCTACAAGGACATTGTGGAGCAAACAGAGATTATCACGGAGAGCTCCCGTGAAGATCATGATCAAGAATGCTCTGTCGTAGCCGACCACCCCTTCCCACATCCCACACCGAGCTTTGAAGAGGCGGGCATGAGTGAGGAGATGCAAGAAGATCTCATGAAAGAAATTGCTTGGCAACTTGCTCTCCAATCCGTGCTAGAAGAAGAAGAGCAAGAAAGGGTGCAGAAAGAAGTTGTGGAGGATGACGAAAGTGAAGCAGGAGAAGTTCTTGATCATTTCCCAGGGGTGATACCACTTGAAGAAGAAAGGGAGGTTGAAGAAGCAATTGACGTCCAGGCTGAGGACGAAGTTGAGGTGGAAGAGGCTTGCACCGGCTATGAGCTACTTGTGATATCTCCACCGAATTTCGAGGAGCTGCTTGGCAAGGACCCATTTGCAGTGTCTCTTTGCCAGACCAAGGCCACATCGACATCGGTTCCTCTTGGTGGACGCGATGGTCTCATATTCATTTTGAGCATTGTTGAATGGTTTGAAATTTGGAATCCTTTTGGATGCTTGGGCTTCGCCTTACTAGTCTATAAGAAATATTTCCCCTGCTTTTAAGGTATCACGTTCAATTTGATGGTTTGGAAAAGGTAAGCATTTATATCCAATTGGACTCATTTGGGTCGACCCCAATTGATAGGCATAAATTATACCCAATTTAAACTCAACTTAACAGAGAGAAAGAAGAAGAAAAAATTGGGTCCACTTGGATCAAGATCCAATTCCCGTATTGGTAATTATTTGAGTAAAAATATCCAACGGGTTGACCCATTGCCAACCCTAGAAACCATTCCTATACAAGTTTTCTAGACAGCTTCATTGATGGATTATATAGTAGTTGTTGAAGGCAAGTTCATCCACTATTAAGAGTCTCATATTGAGCTAAGAAGGAGTAAAAAGATTTGACAGAAGCTCCCCAAATCTTTGCTCTCTCGCTCTTTCTCCTAATCTCTCTTCTATTTTCTTTCCCCAGTTTCACCCTATTCTCCCTCAACTCAATCTCTTTCTGGTATGAATGCTCAACTTATCAAGAAAGTAAAAGTATAAGAAGAAATATATGATTTCAATTTATATGGACAAGTACTATATGATCCATCAATGAATGCTGTCTAGAAGACTCCCCTACTAATTTTCTTCTAGACTGAGTTCCAGTCATGCCACCATTATATCGTATAAATTTCTTCTACACTAGTGTCAGGGAACGGGTAGTTATCATAAATAGTCACAAATCTATTCATTTTGTACAAAACGGTCACAATTCTTTAATTTTGCATGTTTCAGTAATAAAGGTTTGAGTGAATAACAAAATAGTAAATCCGTCCAATTTCGTTCCAAATTTCGTCTTAGATCGCCCCGTCAGCATGACACGTCAGTACAAAATATTGATTAAAAATGGTTAATCAACCCACTTAACCTGGCAATCCAAACGGCCGAAACAAACCCTTTACCCATCCGGTCCCGAATTGGACTACTACCCCCAAATCGAGCATTGCCGGAGAAAGCCAGAAAGAAATCGCGAGGAGAGGAGGAGAATGGCGATTCTCCTGCCGTCGGCGACCAGACCTCCTCCAACCGATTCATCCGCCATCCTCCTCCTCGCCAGCGCTCCTCCAGTAGATGAATCGCCCCCACCTCAGCCACCTCGGCGCTGCTCGAGTACACCACGATCACTTTCTCGTCGTTGGACAGCTTCAACCAGTCCCACGTCGTGCCAAACCGTGGTGGCGTCTCGTCGTACCTGTACCAGGGGAACATCTTGTTCAGCCTCTTGTACTAGTATTGGTTGTCCGTGTGGATCGATAAGGCTTCGTGGTTGACCCGGCACTAATACCTGTAGAGGTCCCCGACGAGGTCAAACAAGCCATTGATGATCCTAAACAAAAGGACCAAAAGCAGGCAAGAAACTGAACAAACCAGCCCCATAAAAGCTAAGAAACCTTTGTGCATTATTTCAGGCAGTTAACAATTACATCCATAGCTATGCTAGGTAATGAGCAAAAAATCACAATGATGTCCATCAATTCGCCAAACTTGAGAAGTTATCCGAGCTTGGAGACGATGGAGGCGGCGGTTGAACCAGTCACGAGGCCGAGGACCATGTCGGATTTCACGTAATCGACGACGAGCTTCTTGAGGTCAACTTGGGTGAGAACAGGGGCGAATTGGGCTTTGATTGAGAAGGCTTTGTTTAAGGTCATCAATGGCTTGTTTGAATGGGTGTTCCCAGGTGGGGGCGATTCATCTTCCGTCGCCGGATAGTCCCGCAGTTCAACATAAAACACCATATCTCTCGCAGTTCAGTCAACGAATGAATCAGTTTGGAGGAGCGCCGGCGAGGAGGAGGATGGCGAACGAATCGGTTGGAGGAGGTCTGGTCGCCGACGGCAGGAGAATCGTCAGTCTCCCCCTCTCCTCGCGATTTCGTTCTGGCTTTCTCCCACAATGCTCGATTTGGGGGTAATAGTCCAATTCGGGACCAGATGGGTAAAGGTTTTGTTCCGACCGGTTGGATTGTCGGGTTAAGTGGGTCGATTAACCATTTTTTAATTAATATTTGCACTGATGTATCATGTTGACGGGGCGATCTAGGATGGAATTTGGAACGAAATTGAAGGATTTAATATTTTGTTATTCGCTTTAACTTTTATTATCGAAACATACAAAATTAAAGAATTATTACCGTTTTGTACAAAGTGAATAGGTTCTTGACAATTTATGAGAACTACCCGTGAGGGAACTCATCGAACATGCGAATCTGGCTGAAATAGAAGTAACTGCGGTGCATGTTTTGTCTTTTTGGTCTATGGTCCATAATGGAGCTGAACCCTTTTGGTGTGACAGATAAGTTTGGGCTTGGACCCGAAGTGTTGCATGAGGCAGATTAGAATCTCGTAAGATCCAGTCTCCTTGTTCAAGGTTACGCTTGGGCCTGGGTCCAGGCTCGCAAGCAAACCAGATCTGGGCTCAAATTCTAGCAGAAATTTTAGCCCTAGTGATCTCACTCACCACCGTGATCCATAGTCGGTTCTTGCATGTAACACATTTTTTTTCTTAAAGGCCAGCATTAGATGGTGGCGGCTGAGAAACCTACGTTAAAGTCAAGCCATATTTAGTTTGATTACCATTAAGGTTGTCAAACCGGTTTATGCCAGTGTGCCGGTTTAGCAAGTGGAATGGTTCAACCGGTGGCACATATCGGTTTGTTCCGGTTCATGCCGGTCAATATTACAAATAAAATTATAAATACTCATATTTAAACATAACATTTAATGTCAATACCTAAGCATTTATACTTGAATCCAACAAATAACATCAATATTTAACTTTTATACTCATAAAATAAATAATAAAATAAATTTTATTAATTAAATTCTCTAAAATAAAATCATTTTGCTTAGAGATTCGTATATCGATCATGTCGATCATACCGGTGGTGTCACGCCGGTTTTATGACCGGTACCGGTTAAACCCGGTACAACCGGTGGCACGCCGGCCGGTGTGACAACCATGATTACCATAGTTAACGCAATGTAACAGTAGAAAGAGACAAAGAACACGAGTATTTAGAATCTAAAGTTATATTTCTTTTTAACATTGTCATCTATAAAAGGTTCAAATCAATGAGTTTAAACCCGGTACATAACCAAACTTGAAAGTTCACCAATAGAATTTTCGGCGAGAGGTTTTTTTCCATGTGAATATGTTTTTTATAAAAGATATCATATATTAATCAAATCAAGAAGATAGTTACATCCTGGATACCAGTCAGGCCCTGAAATCAAAGAAACGATTTATAGTCGGGTACAAAGAGAGGGCTTTTTTAGCTACCGAATGAGCTACCCTATTGTTCTCCCGACCTACAAACCGCACACTAAAGCCCGGATGGGCATGAAAATACTTACAAATCTCTTCCAGGACTGCCCCCCAAGTGACTGACGCTCGTATCGGCTTGATTAATCTTGTCAATAATGACCTTCGCATCACCCTCGAACCTAACTTCACACAAACCACACTCTAGACACCATATGATACCCTCCCGAAGCACAAGCAACTCCACTACCAATGGTTCATCAATTTGCGTAAACCGCACACCTTTAGCCCGAAGGAGCGTCCACCCTGGATCGACAAGAACCATCCCACCAGCCGAGTGGGACCCCCTCCTAGTGGCCCCATCCCACATACAAACCAATCGAGAATCTACCACTTGGGTCTCTGGTTGAACCACCGGGCAGGCTATCCTCGGCGGCGGGTCGACCGGCGGACCCACCCATTCCTCGTACTGCTGGTGAAATTGGCGCATTAAGGCTGGAATCCCAAATTGTTTGCCTTCAAAGACAACTCAGTTCCGCGATCTCCAGATCCGCCAAAGGATGGCAACCACAGCCATAAACAGCGATGGGTGATGGACAAGGGCGAGCAGTCGCTTAAGAAACAACGGAAATGTGTGCCGAGGCAAACCCTCCCCCAAATAGTCCAACCTCGAGTAGTCCCAGAGAGCCCGCGCGACCAGATAGTAAAGAAACATGTGCTCCATAGTTTCGGGACCATCCCAGCAAACCGGACAACGGGGCAACACAGGAACCTTCTTTTCAATGAGAGCCTCAGTGGTCGGCAAAGCCCGTTGAAGAATTTTTCAGAGAAAGACTTTCAGCTTAGGAGGAATCTTTGCTTCCCATAGCCGGATCCAGCTTTGCCTATCCATCCAACTAACCGAGGCCCGCCACCCACCCCTCCTCCTATCAAGCTCAACTGCCAAATGATAGGTCGTCTTAACCGAGAACACCCCATCAGGAGTATTATGCCAGATCAGTTTATCCTCTAAATTCTCTCTCGGAAGAAGGATAGCCATAATGGCTCGACAGGTAGACGGATCAAACCATTGACTAAGCTTATCCTCCGCCCAACTCCCTTCCCCTTGCCAAATAACCTCCACCACCAAGGGATCCCTTCCATTTGTCAGGACCCGGGGATTGTAGCAAGGGGGATCCAACTGAAGCCTTGGGATCCAGTTAGAGTGGATAAGGGAGGCCGAAAGGCCATTACCGATCTGCCATCTTAAACCTGCCTCCAATAACTGGCGCCCAAACAGAATACTCTGTCATCCCCAAGAAGGGCGTGAACGAGCTGTAGCAGACAGAAAAGTTCCTTGAGGGAAGTACTTCCCTTTATACACCTGAGCAATGAGGGATTGAGGTTCGTTGAGAATACGCCAGCCAAGAGGGCATGGTTAAAATGTTCAAACCGGTGAAATTCCATACCCCCATCATGCTTACTCCTGCAAAGATTACGCCAGGACAGCCACCGAATCCTGGGATGGCCCTCCTCAGCTCCCCACCAGAACCGGGCCACATGCCTATCCAAAAGACGAAAAAGAGAGAGGGGCAACCGGAAACACGACATAACATCCAGGGGTAAGGCCAAAGCTATTGACTTAATTAAAGTCTCCTTTGCCGCCCAGGACAACGTCTTTTGCTTCCACCCCTACAGACATGCCAGCAATTTCTCTTCTAAATACCGGAATGTGGCCATTTTGGAGCGGGCAATCAAAGTGGGTAACCCCAGATACTTATCATGGACCCTTACTGCACCGACCCCTAGAATCGCTGCCAAAAATTCTTGATCAGGCAAGGCAACATTTTTACTAAAACAGACTGCCGACTTTTCTAGGTTAACCTGCTGCCCACTCAGCTCCTCATACTCATTCAGCACCACAATCAAATTCTCGCACTCCTGAAGAGAACCTCGCAGGAATAAATAGGAATCATCCGCGAAAAACAAATGCGAGATCCTAGGAGCACGTGGAGCCACTTTCACCCCCTCCAGTTTCTTTTCCGAAATCGCCTTCCGAAGAAGGGCCGCAAACCCCTCCGTGCATAGCACAAACAAGAGAGGTGACAAAGGATCTCCCTATCTAAGTCCCCGAGAGGAATTGAAAAAACCCGAGGGTGTACCATTCATCAGTACCGAAAAAGATGCGGACCTAAGACATTCATGTATCCATCCTTGCCAAACAGAGTTAAAACCCATTTTATCCAAAACTGCCAGAAGAAATGGCCATTCAACTCTATCATTGGCCTTTTCCATGTCAACCTTTAGAGCCATGTACCCCTTCTTCCCCTGCTTCTTTATTTTTAGATACTGCATTAACTCATGTCCGAGAAGGATGTTATCAATAATTTGTCGGTCTCTTATAACCTTATTGTGAGTAATCATGAGTAACTCATGTCCGAGAAGGATGTTACCAATAATTTGCCTGCTTCGACCCCATTGAAAAGACCGTTTTTCCATGTGAATAGATGCACCTAAAAAGTGGGAACGTGTCAGGTCAGTAACCTTATTGTGAGTAATCATGAGTAACCCGTCCACATCAACATGATATCAGCATCCCTTTCTCTCCTAGAAAGCCTTTAATTTTCCCCTCCTTAAACTTTGACGTACGATTTCTCACTCGTTATAAGTCGAAATTTAATTTTTTTTTGTACTGTTAGATCAGATTAATTGTGCTCTTCAAAATGATATCCATTTTGATATATTTTTCAAACAAAAAAAATGAGCCATTTTTTACCAGTCTATACTATATGGTATTGAAATAAGAGCATACCTATGGTTTGAAAAGCGTACCATGGTGGTATGAACAAACCAAGAATGTAGGATAGTTGAATACATGATAGTATTATAAATATATTAACTGTCATTTACAACTTTTAACATTGTGTACCAGGGTGGTATTGTGTGGTATTTTTTGATCCTGTAATGTGTTCACCCATAAATTTGTAGATCCAATAGATCATGATAAACTCGTTCCTTCTGTGCATACGTTTTCAAAAACGAATTAAAAACGAAGAAGATACCATATGGTATGTAGTTGGTATCGAGAGGCAAGAAATTTTTTTCTAAAAAAATATTGAAAATGGATATCATTTTGTAGAGCACAACGAACTCGTTCTATCTATGGAAAAAAATCCGAGTTAAAACGAATAAGATATGAACCGATTAAGAAAGCTAGAAAAAAATAAAAATGACATTTAATTCTTAAATCTGGATTTTTTAAATGAAGTGTTCAGATTTAGTTATTGAAGGGTGCATAACCATGGGTCATGGTTATGCACTCTATCTTGAATCCTACAAAATCAACAAACACACAAACTAAAAAAAGTTCAAATATCTAAAAAAGGAAAATCACATCGCCAAAATCCATGCTCCCACATGCGGAAGCCAATTGCTCTGGACCAACAGCCATATTCTCCATCGCAGGAACTCCAAAAGGCGGAACTGAGTATAGCAATGGCAATGGGCAGTTCCGGGGCGGGTATCTCGATATTCATACCCGCCCCATGGCAGGTCGGGTTCAGGTCGGGTAATTTATCACGGGTACGGGTCGGGGCAGGTCGACCCATTGGGTATGTAATTTATGCGAAAAACATTAGAAACATTTGTTATTTTCATTAAAAGACCAAGAAAGAAACCATAATATAATAAAATGTAGTTAAATTATTGAAGAAATTGAGGTTTTCACTTATTTACAACTTTATTCTAGCTAAAATATAATATAATAAGAGGAAAATCCTAAGTAATTTGACTAATATTATATGTAATATAGGCAAGAATGGGTCGAGAATGGGGCGGGTCAGGGCAGGTCGGGTCGATGAGAGGTACCCATGCCCGCCCCGCCCCGCCTACGAACCTGCCCCAAAACTTTTTTTTTTTTTTGACAAAAGATAATCATATATTGATTTAGACAACGATAGTTACACCCTGGAAACCAGCCAGGTCTGGAAATCAAAGAAACGACATAAAGTCGGGAACAAAGAAAGGGCTTTCCTAGCTACCACATGAGCTACCCTATTATAATCCCGACCTACAAATCGAATACTAAAGCCAGCATGGGCTGCAAACAACTGAACAACTTCCTCAAGAACAGCACCCATCTGGCCATCTCTGCTATCCCTCATTCTGATTTTGTCTATAATCACCTTAGCATCCCCTTCAAATCTGACCGCCTCAAGACCATGCTCACAGCACCAAACCATAGCTTCACGGAGAACCAGTAACTCCGCCACAGCAGGATCATCTACCCCCGGGAACTGAACCCCTTTAATCCAGAGGATCTCTCTAGCTGGAGTTAAGATCACCATCCCCCCAGCCGCATGAGAGCCGCTCCTCGTAGCCCCATCCCACATGCAAACAGGCACGCAAGGATCAACTGGGACCGGCTGCTGCACCCGAGGACAAACTGCTGGAGGGATCTGGCCACCTGGCACCCTTACCCATTCCTCATACTGCTGATTATACTGCCGCATAAGAACAGGGATCGTATACTGTTTGCCCTCAAAGACTACCCAATTCCGAGACCTCCAGATACGCCACAGAATGGCTATCACCGCCATAACCAAGTCAGGCCGGGGAATAAGAGCCAGCAGCCTTTTGAGAAACAAGGGAAAGGTGTGACGGGGCAAACCTTCCCCGAGGTAATCCAACCCAGCAAACTCCCAAAGGGCACGGGCCACAGGGCAATCAAGGAACAAGTGCTCCATCGTCTCGGGAGCAGCCCAGCAAACCGGACATCGAGGGTGCACCGGAATTCTCTTCTCAATAAGTGCCTCTGTGGTAGGAAGGATGCGATTAAGGATCTGCCAGACGAATACCTTGAGTTTAGGTGGGATATCAGCCCCCCATACCCGTATCCAGCTGGGCTTATCCATCCAACTGGCTCCAGCCTTCCACTGCCCTTCCCGTCTCTCCAGAGTGGTTGCAAGATGGTAGGCAGATTTGACCGAGAAGATCCCATCCCTAGAGTAGTGCCAAATTAACTTGTCCTCCACATTATGTCGTGGTAATGGAATGGCCTTTATCGCTCTACAGGTATGCGGATCAAACCACTGGCCCAGTTTTGCCTCATTCCAGCGTCCTTCCCCCTGGAAAATAACCTCTGCCACCACCGGATCACCACCGTCAGGCAGGACTTGAGGATTATACCTTAGGGGTTCAAGGTGAAACTTAGGAATCCAGGAGGAGTGGAGCAAGGAAGCCGACCTCCCATTGCCAATCTGCCATCGTAACCCCTTCACCAACAGTTGACGTCCAAACAGGATGCTCTGCCACCCCCACGACGGACGTGATCGGGCTGAGGCTGTGAGGAAAGTACCCGTCGGGAAGTATTTACCTTTGTAAACCTGGGCAAGTAGTGACTGCGGGTCTGTAAGAACACCCCAGCCAATCTTAGCAAGAAGGGCTTGATTAAACTGTTCAAACCGGCGGAAGCCCATTCCTCCCTCATGCTTACTACGACACATGTTCCGCCAAGACATCCAACGAGTCTTGGGCTGCCCTTCAACCACCCCCCACCAGAATCTAGCCACATGCTTATCCAACAACCGACACAGGGAGACCGGCAGCTTAAAACACGACATCACATGAAGCGGTAATGCCATAGCAACAGCTTTAATCAATGTTTCCTTCGCCGCCCAAGACAATGTCCTCTGTTTCCACCCCTGAAGGCGTTCTAGAAGCTTTTCCTCCAAATAGCGGAAAGTGGCCATTTTGGACCGAGCCATCAGAGTCGGTAGCCCTAGATATTTATCATGCACCCCTACCGCCCCGACTACTAGGATTGCAGCCAAGAATTCCTGGTCTTGAATGACAATGTTCTTGCTGAAACAAACAGCCGACTTAGCCAAATTCACTCGCTGGCCACTAAGTTCTTCATACTCATTCAGGACCTCAATCAAATTCTCGCATTCCAGAAGGGACCCACGCAGGAACAGGTAAGAATCATCCGCAAAGAAAAGATGCGAGATCCGCGGAGCCCGAGGAGCCACTTTCACTCCCCCTAGCTTATCTTCCAATATTGCCTTTCGAAGGATTGCAGCAAACCCTTCAGTGCAAATCACAAACAAAAGGGGGGAAAGAGGGTCCCCCTGCCGAAGGCCTCTGGATGGAGCGAAATAACCTGACGGGGCCCCATTCATTAACACCGAAAAAGAAGACGACCGGAGACATTCATGAACCCATCCACACCAGGTGGAGTTAAAACCCATCTTTGTCAAAACTGCAAGAAGAAAGGGCCATTCGACTCTATCATAGGCCTTTTCCATGTCAACCTTCAGAGCCATGTACCCTTTCTTGCCTCTAGTCTTGATCTTGAGGTAATGCATTAACTCATGCCCAAGGAGGATATTCTCAATAATTTGCCGGTCGCGAATAAAAGCATTCTGGCCTTCCGAAATGATTTGTGGCAGAAAGCACGCAAGCCGCTCAGCCATGATCTTAGTGACAATCTTATAGACAAACTGACATAGGCTGATAGGTCGCAACTGGGTCATGGTCACCACATTTTCAACTTTCGGGATCAAAGTCAGCCAAGTGTGATTGAAACTCTTAAGCATCGTACTTGTACGAAAGAAAGAGCAAACAGCCTCAATTACCGACCCACCCACAATATCCCAAAAGGATTTAAAGAATTTCCCGGTGAAGCCATCCGAGCCCGGAGCCTGCTTAGAACCCATGGAGAAAACTGTTTTCCGCACTTCCCCAGGAAGGACCTCTGCTGTGAGGCAGTCATTCATGGCAGGTGTCACTTTCTGGGGGATGGGCAAGCCATCCACTCTCTCCGCCATGTTACGCACCTGATTTTCCGAAGTAAACAGCTTTTGATAAAAGGTATCAGCAATTTCGGCCTTCCCTTTCTCCTCCGTGACCCAGTCACCCTCGTCATTACGCAAGCCCGCCACGTAATTTCTTTTACGACGAGTCCTGGTTACCGTGTGAAAGTAAGCGGAGTTTTGATCACCTTTTTTCAGCCACCGCACCCGCGACTTTTGCTGCCAGTAACTTTCCTCCGCCTCCCATTGTCTACTTAGCTCGAATTCCAACTGGCGGACCTCATCCCAATTAATCGGGGATTGAGCTTTAATCCGATCAATTTCGGACTGGAGAGTTTTGATATTCCGCAGGGAATTCGTGGTTCCTGCTCGACTCCAGTCATATAGCAAATGCCGGAGTTTCTTAAGACGAACCTGCCCCAAAACACGTCAAACAAGTCGGGTAAATCGGGTCAGGTCGAAATTGCCATCCCTAACTGAGTATTCGAGCTGAACACGACATCATAGACTAAAGTCACAATTTTGATGAAGCGAATTGTGATTCTTGAAATATATATATATATTGTGAGATTTCAAATCTCAATTCACATATTTTTCATGTAAAGGTTGATGTTAATTGAACGTGTTAGATAAAATTTAGCGCCTCAATCTCATCCGATCATTCCTCGTCGTGTCCACTCCCGATTGAACTAAATACTTATTTGTTGCGGTTGTTTATCCGAAGAAGAAAACAAAGCAACTCCTTTGTCTATGAACCGGGTTAAAGGTTCTAAAAAGTGCTTAGAATGGGAATTTCCGTCCAAAAATACAAGAAGTTATATGGGAGTTTCCGAGATTGAGAGTGAGAGAGACCGGCAAGAAAAGAAAAGAGATCCCATTTGGCAACGTCGTCATCCATCCATCCTTGTATCTATCTATCTGTTGGCACGCACACAATCCATTATCGACGTTGATGAAGTAAAAAACAAACAAATTGGTACAGCCAAATTGGACCAACAACACACAAAAAAGGCAGCTTCGCTGTGTTCTTCCGTTTTCCCATATGTTTGGCAACTTGGCATTATTCTAATTTCAAAAGTCCCTACAACATACACATCACTTTACTTTCCCCAAAGGTCACGCGTCACATGACCAATAATTCTGCCATTCCAACAATCACCTTGATTATTCATTATTTTTCTTCCCCAACCCGAGTGTTTCTAGCCTAATCACGTTTTAACCCAATGTGGAGGCAACAACTCTAGTCTAATCGCCTCTTAATAATTTGATCATTTACAAGATTCATCAATTGTTTGTTTACTTAATAAGACCCAAAATTTCTTAATTAATTAATTAATTAAGAAACCAACTAATCGTTGACATAAAAATGCGAATAATTGGGATTCCCTACAAGATTATATGGTTAATCGTACAAATATATACCATCTATTAATTAAGATCCGGAACCTGTCCTAACCTAACCCCACATGCCAGCCAGCGCCAGCAACCGCGAAGCTGCCAAATGCAAATCCTTTTCCCCAACTGGGCCGCCGCAGGTTCTGCCGGTTTGACCCTTTCATGGGCCCATGGCCCATAACCTACCAATGTGCAAACAAACAAATCCCTGGACCGGCCCACCATACAATAACTGTATCCAATCCAATTCAATCTTATGAACTAACAGCAAAATGCTCCACAATCCGCAATTAAACCGGCAGACATTAAATTAGGCTACAAAATTACAAATTAATTACTCAAGAGTCAAGACAAAATTAAATTGGTTCGTTCATCCCCTCAAAAATTAAGCAAAGGAAATAATTTCTGTAATTAATGTTCCAAAATAATATCCATGATTCATTCCCTGCATTCCAATCCCTTCTTTTCCGGCAGCAGCCACCGACCGGACCAGATGTTTCAGTATCGCCGTCGACTCCATTATAAATCGATTTCCATGTTTAATAGACCCGTAGAAAATATATACATACAGATGACTGCCGGCCGATTTCGCGCGGCTTCGCCGCCTTTATACCGATCCTGCCTCACGGTTTGACCACCGGTCACCGATTCCTCCTCGCCGACGAAGTCGTAACGATGAAAGACGGCGACCGACCGGCCATCCGTCTAGATCTCGAATCTGCGCTTTCCGCCATGCCGAAACAAGCAAACCAGTGCCGGAAAACCCGGCCAAGGCCCAACACGCCGCCGCGGCTGCTGCCGCTGCCGGCACCGCTGTTGTCCCTCCGGGTACGGCTTCCTCTCGATCCCCACGAGATCCGCCGAGGCAAGCCACCGATGGTGTTGGTGTTGTTAAATCCCCCGTCCATCTCTGTGTAGACCACGGGGAGATCCCTTTCTCCCCTCATGGCTCCAGTGAACCGCCCCACCGCGTACCCGCCGCCTGGTAACCTCCAGATGGTCAGCCCGACCGCTTCCTCCTCGACGGTCTCCGCCGCGCCCTGCTCGCCGACGGATCGGTCCTCGTCCGCTGCCGGCAACTCGTGGCGGCAGACCGGGCACGAGTTGCGGAGAGAGAGCCAGGGGAGGATGCAATCGGAATGGTACAGATGCTTACAGGGCATTTCCCTGGCCTCCGATTCGATCTCGAAAGCGTCCATACACACCGCGCAGTGAGACTCCGTGGATGTGTGCTTCTCGCTGATGATTACCGTCGGCATCGATTCAATCGCCGCCTTCGACGCCGGGGGGTGGTCGTACCGACTCATACCGTTCAATTCGATCTGCGAGAGCTGATCCAACAGCCGCTCGAATCCAGATCCGAGCAGAAACTCCGACATGCTCGGCGGCAGCGGCCTCAATCCAGAACCGGCTCCGTCGTCGTAATACAACTCGAATCCACGGCCTCCTCCCTCGCCGCTCCCGTTCCCGGTACTGGTGAAGCTATTCCCACTCTGGCTCCCACTGTCGGCTCCGCCGCGGAGCACGATGACCGGATTAATCGGCGATCTGTCGCCACCTCCGCCGTTCCGCCTACCTCCACCTCCTCGGCCCCCGCCGGCTCGTCTCGGCTCCGGCATGAACATAGCCGCGGGGAAACTCCGCCGGTGGGGGCGCGTCTCCATCGGAGTCATCTGCGGAGGATTCTCGATCTCCTCCACAAACCCGCTCTCGCAATTCGGACACGAGACTGGATCGTCGTCTTCCTGCGCCTGGCTCCACACACGGACGAATCGATTGCAGCGGTAGCACCAGTAGGATGGCCTGGGCGACGACATGAGAATCTCTCTATCTATGATTATGAAATTTCCCGGCGTTCAGATCTGGAAGAAGAAGAAGAAAGTGACTACGGCGAAGGCCGCCTTTGTTGGAAGAGAGGAAAAAAAGGGGAATTCAACGGGGGAGAGAGAAAAATTGAGTGGTGGAAGAAGAATGGATGATTATAAGAGAGAGCGAGAGAGAGTTAAGGAAAGCATCCAATCTAACGGCGTAACCCGCGTTGACAGTGTTAGCGCTTTGACGGGGGAGTGACGTGGCGGAGTTGATTGAGGGGGAGATCTTAACGACGTTTATAGGGGCGTTAAAAGAGGCAAGATTCCATTTGTTTGATTTGTTTTAAGGGCTAATACCACTACAACACCCGAACTATTCCGAAAATGCCACTTGTGTCCTATTGTTTTCAATATTCCATCTGTGTCCTGAACTATGATTCTTTGTGTCATTTGTATCCTGTCGGTTATGTTGACTGTCAAGTATTAACGGTTGACCAGACGGCCTTTAAAACGACGTCGTATTGCTGCCAACGTGTCTTACCCGTGGCGGACACGTTGATGCCACGTCAAATGGGAGAATTAATTTTTTTTTTGATTTTTACAAATGGGAATTAAAGTTTTTTACCCAGCCTATATTTCTACCCTCTTCCCATCCATCGACCTAATTTCCGATTCTTTCTACCCTTTCTTCTCCTCTACCCAGCAACTTCTCCTCTACCCAGCCAAAGTGCCGAACTTGGTTTGCTCGAGTGTGGCTTTCGAAGAAGACGACGACGACGACAGGATTTCGAAGGCGCATATGGAGAAGTAGCGAGGGCGGGGCTTGCGTTGCGTCGGCGCGGAGTGGGTGTCGGGGTAGTGGCGGTGACGAAAAACGAGCAGCTGCGGTTTGTATTTGTGTTGGGGCGAGGTGATTCGACTGTGAAGACCCTAATTGCAATGTCAATCCGCCAGAAAAGAGCCTTACCATCTATCAGGTACATTAATAGTTGATTTTGGTAATTTAGGGTTTCTTTGAATTGGGTATTTAGTGTCCTGTTTTCGTGGCAGTAATTCAAAAATGACCAGAAGAGGGTCGCAAACCATTTCGTCGAATTCATCAAACTCACGTACAGTTAAATGCCGGCATAATATACCAGCTTTTCTGAATGTTTCTCGAACAGAACTGAATCCGGGGAGGCAGTTCTATTGCTGCCCTCATTGGCAGGTAAATCAAGTAGTGGTTTGTTATTAATTGTTATTTAGATGGGCAATGATCTCACATGGGTTGCTTTCTACATGGCAGGATGAGGAAGAAAGTTGTCGTTTGTTCATTTGGGCTGATACTTTGAACGAAGACAGTGAAGGTGCTTGCTCCAATGGGGTTGTTGGAGGGAATGAACATATCAGGTCGAACGTTGGTTTGGTAGACAATCAGATGGAAAGATTGAAAGAGAGTTTAAGGGTTGCTGAAGAAAAAGCAGTGCGAAGAAAGAAGGCCTTAAAATTGTTGTATGGTGATTTAGCTAGCATTAGAGAAGAGAATGTTAGGTTGATTGGGGATTTAAGGTTGGCCAATACTCGTCTGTTGTGTGTTTTGGTCTTTTTATCAGCCTTAGTTATAGGGTTAGCTATTGTAGGTTTGAATTCCTCCAACATGTTCTAATCTGTTATTGTTGTAGCAGTTATCCTGTTAAGGTGGATCTTATCAGTTGTGCGAACCTTGAATATGTTACTTATCTAATGGCTATACCAGTTTGTGTGTAATACTTATGTAACCAAAATGCAGACAACATCAATTCACAAAACAGCTGCTTTCACATTCACAAAAACATATCATTACCAAGGTACCTGAAATGTCATCCCTTAAGGTACCTAAAATGTCGATCCAATGTTTAGGAAATATACACCATTTCCATGGATCTACGGTAACCTACCACAAAAGGTGGATCCAACTTCAATTTCACATCTTAAAACGAATACCACAGATATGCTAGAGGTAGGCTACTATACAAAAACACATTCTACTGCAATCTAAACTACTGCCGAGGTTGTGAAGGTTGCGTGGCAGGTGGTTGAGATCCACCTTGATCTATCTCAGTAGGAGCTGCATTCTGAAGGATCCTTCCACTTCTTAGCGTCCTGCCATGTCCATTGGGGCCATTGAGTATAACATATGTATTACCCAAATCAGTATGCAGAACTCCAATCCCTTTGTTAGCCTGCACATTCGTGTATGAAGCACCCATATTAGATGTATTTATCACAAACAAAACATAAACATCAAATAGAATTGAGACGAAATGCATTCTGATTATTCACATACCATCCTAACCTCCCTTGCTAAATCACGCCTGCTAGTCACTTCACGATTAACGAAGGCTTCCTATTAACACAACATGACAATTGAATCAGATTTCATACAAACAATCATTTCAATTCTACACATTGATCCGCTATTGGATTTACCTGGATTCCGCCAGTTAAGGGACATGTCCTTGCGTTATGGTCATCTCCTCTGCATTTGGAGCACAGACCTCTGCTCCTTCTTGCAGGTGGAGAAGTTGGAGCAGCACGTCCAATTGGGGCAGCTGATGGACCTGGACGAGCTGGAGAAACTGGAGCAGCACGTCCAGTTGGGGCAGCTGATGCACCAGGACGAGCTGGAGAAACTGGAGCATCTGGACCAGATGGAGTTGGAGCATCTCCACCTTCATTATTCCCTCTCCTACGAACTCTTCTACTTCCACCTGCCTCATCTCCACCCACATTCTATAAACTCGACAAAATATCATAATTAGCATTACATTCAGAAGGCAAATATTGAGTTAGCTTGTAATTGACTAATGCACATTACCTCTCCAGCATGAAGTTCTGGACAACGTCTCACGTTATGATTTGGAGATTTACACTTGCTGCAATGCATGACAATGGATTTCCTCCTGATGGCAACACCTCCAGCCCCATGACCAGTAGTCTCTATTTCTCCTGGTTGTCTCCTCCTCTGTTTTTTAGGACGGCCAGGCAGAATCCTAAACTTAGGGGGGTATACAGGATACCCTTCAGCTTCTGGCCATGCCTGCTGGCCTTCCAAAGTAGGAATGCCATGTCTGTAGGCCATCTTATACACCTCGACCTTATAATATTGGGTGACAAACATCTCTGGTTCCAACCTCCTGAATTGAAAACATGCAATTGAGTGGTGACATGGTATACCAGTCAACCCCCAATAACCACATGTACAAGATTTGTCTTCAAAGTCTACCACATAACCCTTTCTACCTTCTGCAACTTCGAACTTCTCCCCCAAACCGGGACTAACAACACACATCTTTGCCAAATCTGTCCCAATCTTGAGCTTCTTTTCAATCCTAGGACAGAATACACTATCAACTCGTTCAACCCCCTTCATTTTGTCGACAAACCTAACCATCAACTTCCGACGAATTCCCTCTAGCATGTCGATAATTCTGTCCTCCCTTTCCTCAAGGATATAACCGTTAAATGTTTCACATATGTTGCTCTCTACCGAGTCACACCTTGGTATGTGGCTCATGAAAGCTTTGCAGAATGTGTGTGGTTCTTGGTCCAGAAAATCCTTATGCAAGCTAGGATCAACCCCACTAGTCTGAATGTCTTTCATCTTCTTCAAATTAGCATTATATTCAGGAACATTCGTGGCATATACTGCTGCCCAGAAGAGGTCCCGATGCTCCTTAACTCGATGATTGACCTTCCAGTTGGCAAAAACATGTCTTGCACATTTCCTTTGTGAAGCTTCAGGTAAGCAAGTGCTTATTGCTTGCACTAGTCCCTAAGAAGACAAACAGCCCAATAATGAGTTAGTGAAACATCATGGATCATAAAAAACACATAAAACTCACTGAGGGGTATGTACAATACCTTCTGTTGATCAGATATGACAGTCCATCCACGACCATCAGTGGTCCTAAGGTCTTGTTGAAGTATTGACACGAACCACTTCCACGAATCACTGTTCTCTCCTTCTACAACAGCCCACGCAATAGGGAACATCCGATTGTCACCATCTTTCCCAATTGCACTCAACAACATCCCAGTTACTTCCCCCTTAAGGAAACACCCATCCAAAGCGAACATAGGACGACAGCCCCTAGTAAAACCCCTACTTAATCCACTGAACCCTACATACAGCCTCTTGAAAAGCACACGTTAAGGAATAGAACTTGGGTCAACCTCAAGTATGAAGGTTCCAGCAGGATCTTTCCTCTTCATTTCTGCCATATAGGACCTGACCTTATTGTACTCTTCAACCAATGAGCCACCCAACATCCTCTTCGCATAAATCCGAGCCCTATAGCATTGCCTCCTGGATATCTGAACGTTGTGTGCTTGCCTTATTTCAACCATCATGTTCTTTACCTTCCAATTTGGCTCCCTTCTGAACCTGTCGAGATACTTTTTAGCAGCCCAAACAGCATTTGCAACCTTCATTCTCACAGACCTAGGACATGTGTGATCCTTTCCAACATTCTTGATCATAAAGCAAGAACGTCCATGCCAGCTTCCATAAACGTACCACCCGCAGTTGTTACGGCATTGAGCACGCTTCTTTTGCTTGTCACTCCTAGTCCATCTCATATCAGCTCCAATGGCAATGCAATGGTTTTCAACGGCCTCCTTGAACTGCTCGGGGTTGTCAAATGTCATGCCCAAAACCAACTTAAGGGTTGAATGGTCACACATAGGGTCATATCGAGGTCCGTTTTCTAGAGGGCTACCTTTGTCTTCGTCATCAATGTTCCCCCTCACATGGCGTGACTCAATTGAACCCCGGTAGGCTGAATCTTCCACAACCCTGTCCCTCAAGTCCTCGTTATCAACGTCATCTGAAACAATGGTCTCACTATTACCTCTGCCTTCATCCACAGGTGGGTCACCATCAACAAACAATGACTCTTGCTCTACCTCCTCCCCAGTTTGATCAACACGAGTACGAACTCGTCGTGGTCTGACTCCTTGCTCCTCCATTGCATCAATGAACTCATCATCAGAAGTACGGATATCATCATCCATGAGATGGATAATGTCTCGGTTTTGTGAGTTATCCCCATCCTCCGAATCACCATCATCAGATAACTCTTCTCCAAGTTCTTCATTGTCCCCGATTTGAGTTTCTATTGCTTCCATGAATATCATAATTTTTCCATCTTCAATGGCTGGGAGCAAGCCATCCATCACCTCACTATCAGACCGTATTTCAACTAGACCATTATCCAAAGTGTCAGAGGGTGCCATGTACCACAG